AAAGCAGTTTAATTTTGGCCACTTGTGGAGTATTCCAGGTAGCTCCTGCCTAGGTTATTCCTAAGAATTTTACCATTAGGGTAGGTCCTTGGACCTTTGCTGAATTTGTTAACGAGCCTCAGTTGGTTGTGTGAGTTATTGCCTTCAAATCAGTCCTAGCCTGCTCTTCAGTTCCCAACATTATCATGCGTCATCAATGCGGTGTACTATTACACTGGGGACCAAGTCCACATCCCTTCTGATCAAATTCTGACAGTAAGCTGGAGAGTTGTGATAGCCCCATGGCAACACAGTAAATGTCAGTCAGGATCCTTCCCATGTGAAAGTGAACTGCGGTTGGCTCCTCTCCAAGACTGAGACAGAGAAGAAAGCATTTGAGAAAACAGTCACTGAGTGCCAGTCTCCTTTAGACTGTTATGTTTTTTTTGTATAGTCCAAACCATGGTCAGAACTGCTGAGGCTATGAGCAGCACCATTTTATTAAGCCTCAATAGTCTACTGTTAGTCCCCACGAGCTGCAAGCCTTTTACACAGGCCACACAGGACTATTGTACAGAGAATTCATCAGTGCCAGCGCTCCAGCTTCTAACATGTCATTAAAGTGGTGATCTCTTTTTGCCCACCAGGTATTCCATATTGTTTTAAGTTAACCACCTGCGTGGGTTCAGGCAGAACTAGTGGTTTCCATTTAGCGTGTCCAATTAAGACTGGCCTGAAGGAGGACTTTCATGCCTCTCTTCTCAATACTAGGTAGGGGAAGCAATCTCTGGGCCGACATAATGTCTATCCTAATAATAAATTCAGGTACAGGAGACTCGATTTCCTCATATAAAGTTTGTTCAAAAATCCCAATTTTCATCTAAACTTTCACCTCAATCCTGTTAACCTCTGCATCTCCATTTCCGCCTGATCTAAATTTAGCCGCCATTAAAACATCACCAACAGTTTTCAAATCACGGTGTTTTGGGCTCCTGTGTCAAGGAGTCCCAGAAAAGTCTCTCCCTTCCTACCCCAATCTGGCCATTTTATCCACACACGTGCATATGGCCTTGGGTCTCTGCCAGGTTGAGCCACAAGACCCTGGCCTCTCCTTCAGTATTTACCTTGATTAATCTGCTTAACCAAACCCTAGGAGGTTCTGAGTGGGGTTTCTCATTGTAATTTTGTCAAATTCCTCCAAACTGGGGTAAATAGAGTGGACTTGTTTGGGGCCTTCTAATGTTGGGGGACCAGCAGGGAGTCCCATTGGTCCACCCAACCTTCAATAGTGCTGCATCAACACTATTGTTTCAACACCATTAATGTCTGCCACATCCATCTCATTTCTCAATAACCATCTAAATAGTTTCTTGTATCAATTCCAATAGGAACGTTCCCCACACCCATAAGAAATTTCTCAGACACCAGCTGGATGCCCTACAATTCAACTCAATTCTGACACCGTCTACCCAGAGATAGTATCAGGTCCCACAGGTGGAGGGCTCAGTCCCACAAGATTGGCTGCCCACAACCCACAGTTCAAATGCCAATGGCAAGCCCATGTTGTTACCTGTACTTCCTACCGATTGGCTATAAATCAGACATCCTGCAACCCTTTCCTCAGGTTTGATTAATTTGCTAGAGTGGCTCACAGAACTCAGAGAAACGTTTTACTTACTAGATTACTGGTTTATTATAAAAGGATATAACTCAGGAATGCTGTGGAAGAGATGCATAGGGCAAGGTATGGGGAAAGGGGCATGGAGCTTCATGCTCTCTCTGAATACACTACTCTCCTTGCATCTCCACGTGTTCTCCAACCCAGAAGCTCTCTAAACCCTGTCCTTTTTTGGTTTTTATGGAGGCTTTATTACATAGGCATGATTGATTAAATCATTGGCCATTGGTGATCCATTCAACCTCCAGGACCTTTCCCCTCCCTGGATAGTTCCAACTCTCTAATGACATGTTTAGTTCTCCTGGCAACTAGCTCCTTTCCTTAGATGGGTCCAAAAGGCATGTCATTAACTTAATAGGAGACACCTTTGTTGATCTCATATCTCTTACAAAATTCCAAGGGTTTTAGGAGCTCTGTGCCAGACATGAGGATGAAGACCACATATATATGTATACGTCTTATTATAAATTACAATGTCACCCCATCTAAAGATTTCTACCTTGCTGAGACCAGTCCCTTGACTCTCCTTTCTGTCTCTCCCATTGTCTTTTTTAATTACTTTGGTGACCTCGTGTAGGGTCGTGCTTGCCCAGCAGTAGCCTACATGCCCTATAGCAACCATGTGTCCTTCTGGCCCCCTTCTGGGTGTGCCACCAACCATCTGGTATTGTAACAATCCAGGAAGAACATCACATCTTGGAGGAACGCAGAGCCCTTCTACATGAGCTACTGGTCTTGGAATGCTGGTCCTGGAAGGACGGTCCCTTTTGGCAAGCATGCAGGCTTTGTTCCCCTGCCATTATAAGCAACCCCCTCTGTATTCACGGTAGTGAGTGCAGGTGCACAACTCTGTCCAGTCGGCCACTCCTGGACACTCCCTCTATTGAGGTCCCAATAAACCTTTATGTCTCATACACTGTCTCCGGGTCTTTTCTTCGGTCTCTCTGCTACCTATCCCACACTGCTTGCACAGCTGGGCACGCAGTCAGACACCTTGGTATCAGTAAGATCCATGGAGGGAAGCTGAGACAGCAAACTGATAAAACTTCTGACTGTTGTTTGATTTTGCAAGAGCAACATCACATGGGGCGCCCTTCTAAAAGGGGTCCCCTTGATCACAGCATTTACTGTAAACTGGTAATGGGCATATTCAGCGGGTGAATATCCCAGTCCTGGTAAAGCCAATCCCACATGGCTTGCACATGAAGCAGATCAGCTGCTTCATCTGAAGTGTTCTGCTAGGCATTTACAGGGGGAATTGGGCAGTCCCCCATCTCAGGATAAACACACTTTATAGTGGCTTTTATCCAGTCCACCAGGCTGACCTTCCCTCAGGAACAATCTTCTGCATGTCTGGATCACTTATAGCCATCTGTAATTGGTCAATAGTGAACTGTGGGCCCTGTATTGACCCAAACACGCTCTTCCGTCTATAACATTCGAAACGAAAGACATAGCCCCAAATTAGTTACTCTCACATTCCATTTTAGTAAAGGTTCCTCAGGAAGCTCATGATACCCATCCACAAAATGAGGCAACTCCCGCACACTGTATCCCCTGGTTTCAGTAGTTTCTTGGTTTATCTGCCACCACACTGACTACATTTTTGGTGACCAGAGGCCTTCAAGATACTTTCTTGGCATGATTTTTCCCTTTGTGGGCAGCTTTGAGTTTCATGGCCAAATCTCAGACTGACTCAAATCTGAGCTTGGTCCGGCATCAAGTGTGCACTCAGCACTTTACCTCATTCTGTCATTACAGATAACAATAACGAAGGGACTGTATGTTTAGCATGTTTCTTAGTATTTCGTGTTTTCTTGCGTATCCAATTAGTCAGCTCCGCAGGAGTTGGGTCTTCTCTCATCTCTAATTCCACTGGTACCCTTTACCTTTCGCAACTGATAAAAGCACAGCTGCAGTTTACCCCATGGGTGACTAACAAGCCATCCAGGCAGCAAAGGCTCCTCATCCTCTGCCTTTCCCTTCTTTCTTCCCAAACCATGTTTCCATGAGCCTGAGCCGTTCAGGCAAATCCCACTTCACTGACACTACATGTCTAGGAAAAACACATTATGTTTTCCTTTGCTCTCACATTTCATTTTTGGCCACTAAATGTGTGGGGTTTTTCCCCATACTGACCAATTCTCCAACACCAGCTGGGTGTCCTACAATTCAACATAGTTCTGACACTATCTATCTGGAGTTAGTGTCAGATTCCACAAGTTAAGGACTCAGTCCCACAAAACTGCTCCCACTTTAGACAGCAATCACAAGTCCCAGGTTGTCACCTGTACTTCTGACCAACTGGCTGTAAATCGGGGTTCCCATGACTCCCTCCTTGGGCTCAACAATTTGCTAGGACATCTCACAGAACTCAGGATAACATTTACTTATGTTAACTGGTTTATTATATGATAAAGGATATGAAAGGATTCGGATGAATAGCCAGATGAAGAGATACATAGGGTGAGCCCTGGAAGGGTCCTGAGCACAGGAGCTTTGGTCCCTGTGGGATTGGGATGCACCACCCTCCTGGAACATGGATGTGTTTGCCAATCCGGAAGCTCTCTAGTATTTTGGGGATTTTTATGGATGCTTCATCAGGTGTAATCAGTTATTAATTCCATTTCCAACCCTTCTCTCATCTCCAGAGAATGGGAGGTGAGGCTGAAAGTACCAAGCTTCTAATGATGGCTTGGTCTTTCTGGTGACCAGCTGTGATCCAGGAGCCCACCAGAGTCATCTCATTAGAACAGAAAATGCTCCTATCACCCAAGAAATCCCAAGAGTTTTAGGAGCTCTGTGTCAGGAAACAGGCTCAAAGGCCAAATATTAGGAGGAACCAAGGGCAGAGACCAAAATATATCTCATTCTTTTATACAAGCGAATACAGAGAATTGCAGCCAAGATCAGCTGATCTGGAGCAGGAGCCACTAGAGGCACAAATTGGTAGGAAAAAAACACTTAAATGGTAATTACGATGAATTGCTGGAGGCTGAGTGTGGACTAGGAAAGAGTGACACACTTCTGGGGCCAATATTATTAGGGGGTGGCAGAAGCAGGTGAGTGAGTGTAACTGGAGCAGGGCAAAGGCTATAACCCTGGAAGGATATGTCTACTGCTTGAGATCTGGAACTAAAATGAGGGAGGAAGGGAGGAAATCCTCTAACCTCACTCTTCTGCCACCCTCCCATCTCCTGTTGCTATTTCCTATTGGATTGGTCAAACCCAACCGGAAGCCAACCATCAATGAAGGAAATTAGGGATACAGTGTCCAGTGGTCAGCCTCCTCTGGAAGGGATATGTTAGGAAAATAGAGAACAAAATCAGCACAAGATATGCCTTCCTTTTTAAAAAATCTTTTCCTTTGTTTTATTCTCATCTCCATCTCTTTTCATACCCATTTATTTGCTCTTAAACACAATCCTAATAAATACCCAAGTTAATAGCTTCAAAAGCAACTATATTATTATGGTTCTAGCAAACTATGTCCAGTTTAATATTTTAAAATATTCATACCACATCTGATATTGATTATTCAGTACTTTGTAAACATATTTCTATAACACTTAAGAAAGTTTATAATTTATGAAAGGACACAAGCAAAGATTTCATCATATTGTTAGGTGAAATGGTTATATGTATGTTGTGACGTTATACATTTGAGCAAGACAAGAGAATTTATTGCTTGAGGTCTAGAAATAATTTAAATTCAACTCTCACTGTAATATGGATTTACTTTTATAGAACACTAAAGGCTCCTGAGTAAACAGTAAACTATAGGTGATTCATTGTAGGTTTGGAAATATAATACTCCAGATATAATTATGATATATGTAAAATATACAGATACAATATTTAATTGTATAAAAAGCCTGTAAAATGGATAAGAGAAAGATTAAAGCACAAGAATAAATGAACAAAGAATACAAATAATTAACACAAAATAAAATGCAAATATAAAGCTTCAATCTCACCATAAGTTAAAAAGTAAATTAAAACAATTTCAATGTTACATCAGCAAATATGCATATATACTTAATTAGGAAATTATATGTACTATAATGACTCCAACTATGTAAAAAATGCACTAAGGAAAAAAGGAAATAGTTGATTTTTTTTGGTGTGGAGAAATTGTGGTGATTCTTTTATACCATTTTATTCAATTTCTATATTTTTCTCCAATATACAATTTTCTTCAATGAGACTAAAAAATTTTCTTTTAAGTTATATAACACATCTCCAAAAACACAGCAGCAAGAATACTGCTTGGTCTTCAAAAAATTTTCCAGTGATATTCAAAATAAAATGACTATTGTTTAAGGAAAAAAATAAAATAATCTGTAAAGCTGACAGATTTTTTTTTAATTGAGGAATACAAAAGATATGCACACGTGTATTTATATATGCACACATGTGCCTACACATATATAAGAGAGAGGTGATCATAAAATAGCAGTAAATACACAGAAAACCATCAGCACCCCCCATAATCATAAGAACTCAATATAATGTATTCAAATTGTAAAAGTCTGAACCAATGCTGCTATGACTCCCATTGTTTTCAATGGGTATATTTGAACTGCTCTTCCAATGTACATGTTTGTTCATTTGCGAGTTCAAGGGACTCCAACCCTGAGAATTTTAAAACAATTTCTGAACAGGTTTCAGAGGAACACTCTTGGATTGTGCTTATGTATTAAAACAAGCGCATAAACCCAGTGTATCACATACTGGCATGCAACAATCACACAGCTTCTGGCTGTTAAATACATCCCTCACATATTTCAGCAAGGGAACTTTTTAGTAAATATCCTATTTCTAAGTCATACTTTAAAAAATTCCAAGTTTGTGGTATTATTTCCACAACACCCAGTGCCTGGCTCTTCAGGTATCTTAAGTAATATTTTGTATTGCCTTTATCACAGATTTTCTATCACCCCTAAATTTGAGGGGAGGAATAATTTCCAAATTTATCCATTCATTAACTAAATACACAAGATATACCTAATATTGATGTTGTTGATTTTTAAAATTATACATACTGCTAATTATTATATACAACAGAAGCTTATGTGACATCAACAAAGACTTGTTAGGCTTGAGGTTTTAAGGGTCTTCTGAATGAGAGAGGAGTTTCCATCTCATGCTTGTATCAACTTCTTCAGCAAAATTTCCCAGCTCCTGCTCCTTAGACAGCTCCAGGAAGGCCTAAATAGGAGACAAAGAAGAAGGAAAAGAATTACCAAGTTGTGGATTGTCTTCCAAATACACAAGAAAAATGCAGCTACTTTCAGGTGAAATTCAGTGATGAAACAAAACCACAAAGGTTGACCCACCTTTTCCAGTGTGCACTGAGAGAGGCTGTATTCTTCCAGGTTAAAGTTATATTTCACTGAAAAAAAAAAAAGACTAGTAGTAGAGTCTTATAATTTATTACCAAGAATTTTTTCAAAAGCATACAAAATAAAAATGCAAATCATTGATATAGGAATATAGAGCTGAATCAGCAAATGTTTGGTGAAAGAAGTCACAGAATTAATATGTGTATATTAAATTAATCTTGATATTAGAATTTTCTTATATTGCATTTTGATAATATGTGTTTTCTTACTTAGTATATGCATCCTGGGGAGATGTGGAAGTTCCCTGAGGGACTGCGTAATTGATTGATACATGTATTCTTACACGTGAGGAAGACTTCAATCCCATTCCATTCCCGTTAAAAGGACCCACTCCTTCCGTGTGGGTGTGCTTCAGCCGGTTCATCTCCTGGACCAGCTGTCTGCTGGGCTTCCCCACACGAACTCTGCATGACACTAGTCACCAGACTCACATGTTCACAAGTCCACAGTTCACCATTTATACGTTGAGTGTCTTCCATGTATGAGCCACCCTTAGGTGCCACAGATAGAGCAATAAAGAAAACAGACAGAAACAAAACCCCTGCCTCCGTGTATTTGGTGTGAGGAATATGGACGTCAAATAAGCACTTAAATATATAATAAAGTAAATATTGATAGCTATTATGGAAAAACAATAAATCAGGTAAAGGAAACAGGAAGTGCTGGCACTCTTTTGCACCGGATAGTCAGGGAGGACCACAGCAATAAAGCAATAATTGAGCAGAAACCCGAAAGAAGTGAGGAAGCTGACCAGCTATTTAGGAAGTAGAATTCCAGGAAGGATTAGCAAGTGCAGAGTCCTGAGGTGGAGTATGCATGTCTGCAACATTTAGGAAGAGCTAGGAAGTCAGAGTGTCTGGAGGAGGAGGAGTGAACCAGAGAATTATATTTATATTTATATTTATATTTATATTATATTATAATTATATCCATTATTTATATAATGAGCCAGCACTGTTCTAGGCTCTTCACAAATGAACTCATTTAATCGTCCTAAGCACCCTGCCATGTAGGCGCTGATGTTATCCCTCATTTTAGAGGTGAGCCATCTAGACGTGCAGGGATTGCCTAGCTTTACTCAATGTCTCCTAGCATGTCAGCAGCCGTGCTGGGATGGGATCCCACAGAGCCTGTGCTAGTTTGAGCTCTTCACTACCATGTTGTGTTGAGAAACTACACAAGATGGCCTGCTGTTGAGAATGACCCAGTTAAAAGTGGGAAAAAGATGACAAAGAGAGGGAATGGACAATTTCAAGCGGCCAGAGGAGTTATGCACAATGCAGGGGACACACTTAGCTAGAGACACAGACAGTTCATCATCGTTAACAGGAAGGCAGAACACAGCACAGGTGCAGGGAGGATTTCTGCTGCCTTTATTTTGTCAGTGAAACATAAAGCAAGGGAATCAACTGAGGGAGAAAAGCAGGAAGGAGAAGGCCATGTAAGAGGAGGAGTGAGGAAAGAAGTTAGGACATTTGGTGTGAATGGATTGTGCGCATGTGAGCAAAGCAGGTTGGACTAAGGGGCTTTCTGAGGTTAATGTCCTGAATTCACAGTAGAACCAGTCAAGCACGATTGTGTGTTTTCCTGCAGCTATGGTCTCTGCGCTGGAGATTAACCACTTCATTAGAGTTGGACTCTCCGAAGTTGGGGTTAAATCCCCCCATTATCTACCATTAAAATTCTTAAAATCATCCCCTACTGGGCCTATTTTCAAACCACACAATTATCTCCCATTATATTATTATCCAAGTCTGAACTGATTCTTCAAAAGCTTTGTTTAAAAAACGGTCATTCTTACCTGCCTCTAATTTGTGAAAAGCCTGAGACAGAGGGTGAGCATCCGCCACGGGCAGTTTATAGAGCACGAAGGAGGAAAATCTGGGAACGGGAAAATGTCATATTTGACCTTGAGTTTTAAGGGGGAAAAAATGACCATCAAAATAAATATTGATATTATCAGCAATTTTCTTTTTAAAATAAAAGTAATGCAATTTTTTTTAATGTATGGCTTACGTATGAAATAAGTAATTTATCAGTGGACAAATCTTAGAATGGCTTTGGTTGCCAGCTGTTGGAGACAGCTCTAGAAGTGATCCAGCATAGTTACAGTTATGCTCAGTTTATGCCAACTGTGTTCTCGTTGAACACAGAATGAACATAGGGTGTCCCCAAGCCTCCCTGGGGGGCCACAGCTTCCCGGGTAGCTCCCAAATCTCTTATAATCTAAAAGACTCAGCAAATCAGTTTTTGAAGTCCCTAACTTGATTATAAAGTCAAATAACCCTGAAGTTCTCACAGAGCAGAAAAGGAACCCTGAGGGTAAAGCCAACAGAAGTCTTCATAACCAAAAGTTCCTTTCACCTTTCCTTCTGCACAGCCTGTGGGAAAAGCTTCAGAATCTCAACGTGCACCAAAGTCACTTGAGAACTTTCCTTTAGTTTTAGTTCTAGAATGTAATCCTTGCCAAATTTGCTTTTCAGGTGTTGGATGGATCCGACGCATCTATGGGCAAGAAGGAAAACATGTTGGGAAAAAATATTACTCCTTAAATTTTGTTATGTTGTTCTTAAATTTCAAATGTAAGGGAAAGGACGTCACTAAGGGAGCTGAAACGAAGAATTCCAGGTGCTCATAGCGATTTTTCCCTTTTAATAGGGAATCTCATTTTGGGGGCCAAGTGCAGGCTCTGGAAAGACACTTACCTGAGTCTTCCCGACACCATGATGGCAACGCGGTCACAGACGGCCTCAGCCTCAGCCAGGTAATGGGTGCTCAGGAGGGCCCCTCTCTCTGTGTTTTTAATGGCTTTCTGGATTGTTTGCCTGAAGTAAGCCAAAACATTAACACCATTAAAAGAAAGGGGGTAGGCAAAAAAGAAAGAGGGGAAATTTTATAGAAAAAAATACAGTTTGTGAATCATATTTAGATACTAATTCAAAAAAAAGCCCAGGAAATGTGAATACTAACTAGATTTTTGATAACATAAAGAAAACTTCTATATATTTTTAGGTGTGCTAATGGTGTTCTGGTTAAGTTAAAAAAGAAAGGGAAGACTTCATATCCTTTGGAGATACTAACTGATACTTATAAATAAAGCATATGCTACCTAGTATTTGCTTCAAAATAATTGGAGAGTGGGGAAAGGAAGTGGGTGGAGGCATAAAAAGATTGGCCCTATGTGGATATCTGTTGAAACTAGGTGATGGGTATAAAGGGTTCATAAATGACTTTCTTCACATTTGTGCAAAATTTCCATAGCAAAATTCTTTTAAAAGGTTGGGAAGGAGGTCAGCACCATGGCTGAGTGGTTAAGTTCATGCACGCCACTTCAGCAGCCCAGGGGTTGCCAGTTCGGATCCTGGGCATGGACCTAGCATGGCTCATCAAGCCATGCTACGGGGGCATCCCACATAGAAGAACTAGAATGACTTACAACTAGGATACAACTATGTACTGGGGCTTTGGGGGAAAAAAAAAGAGGAAGAGTGGCAACAGATGTTAGCTCAGGGCCAATCTCCCTAAAACAAAAAAAAAGATATACTTTTAAAAAAAAAAGTTGGGAAAATATTGGACAGTCACAAATATAAAACTGGATTGGTGCCGGGAGCCGTGGCTACATCATTTGATTGGCTGTTTGACAGGGTCCAGCTGATTAACGCCGAGGGGTGCAGGGTCGCCCCTTGGTGAAGAATAACCGGCCGGCCCCTCACATAGTTCTGAAACCTGTGCTGCTTCTAATTGCCCTTCATTCCTTTTCCTTTCTTAACCTCCAGTTTTCACTCCTTTGGGTGGCTGCTTGGGAGGCACTACCTCCCGGGAAAATTAGATATAGTAAGAGAATGTGACCACCTGCAGGTAACTTTCAAGATATTTTTCAGTTAATTAACGGAGGAGCACACAGTCCCATGTGAGACAAGCAGAAAGGAATCCTGCCCAGATAAGACGTCGAGTTAGGTTTACGGCCTCCATCTGGTTAATGTTTCCTTCTCCGTCCAGTTCTTTGTCTAAATATATATATATGCATCGTCCTTCTAAGTTTGCTGGCTAAGTGGATGATCAAGAAGTATCTATATATTATTCTTGACCCTCTGCTTTCTGTTGAACTGTTATAGAGGTTTTCTCCTAAAAGCAATAAATAATAAATAATTGATGAGTAGAAAGGCCGAGGGGTGCAGGGATGCCCCTCGGTGAAGAATGGCCGGCCGACACCCCTGATATTCTCTGAATTATATGCATGCTTTCTATCAAGGTTATGTCTATACTTATTTCTGTGTTTTATTCTTGAAGATATATAGTTTAGCTTAGCTTTTCAGCCCTTTACTTTACTAACAAAATGATATTTTCTCTGGCAGTGTGCTTAAGGGACTGTTAGCTCTGCAATCTAAAAGACAAAGGAATGCTTTCACCCCCTAAAGGGCGCGAAAATGTAAAGATGTTTAACTGCCCGCTGAGAATGCAGATAGCCCTGGGGATAAGATACCCTGGAGTCGCCTTTTGTTCCCATTAACCATCTACATTAATGGCTTAAATGATTGAGGGAGGCAGGGATGGCTCCCCCAGGATGTAAACAGACGGAATGCTGTCCTGTCCGGAGGCCTGGACCTTCTCTCTTTGATTTAACTTTACCACGAATCACAGCAGATGTCTAGGTACCTATCTCTTTTAGCTTAGAGACAACAAACACTAGTTAATTGTGGAGAAGACTACCATTAACCTTATGCTCTATAGAATAGAATGCTAATAAATATTCTTGTGCTCGTTTTTTACTTCCTTATCTCTCCAAGAATATTTGTAGAGCTATTTCTGTACTAATCCTGAAAAATATAAATACGACACCTGTGCACAGTGAAGTTGGACTTGCTAATACCAACCCAAGTATCAAGTCCCCTTTATTTTCCGCTCATTGCGCCGACGCCGTCCATCCCTCAGGTACCTGGACTCAGCCGGGGCGGGACTCCGGCAGATTGGAGAATTTTATTAACCCAAATGGAAACTCAGAGATGTGAAAGTCAAAAGAATTTAAAAACTAAGAAAAACTGGATGAACAAATTTGACAGATTAGGTGAAAGGAGGAAAAGGGGAAAATAGGGAATTTAAGTCAGTAAGTTACTAGTTTCTAAGGAAACTGTTATAGACATCGCAATAAAAAAGACAAAATTAAAATACACTCCAAATTATAAGAAGTAAAACTCTAGTAAAATACCTAGAGGTTTGTTTTTTAATGTGAATACCACATGAATATGATGCAACATTAGAGAATCTATTTGTTAAATATTTGGGTTTTTTAATAATATGGATTATCTCCACTAAATTAAGAACCAGTGGTTTTGGTTTTCCAAGATCAGTTTAAAAATGCAAGTTTTACATAAGATTTGTACTTCTGGCTCTGAGGGTTATAATAATTCTCACCACATTTGCTGCTGTCCTGTTGGATCCATGCCTGTAGACGGTTCGTCCAGAAGCAAGATAGGTGAATCTCCCAGAATGCTCAGCACAAAACACAACTGAAATGCAGAGAAACACCCCTGGTTGCTGCCACCATCACAGAATACCATCAGAATAACATCACATACCACACACACCTTTCTAGTGGCTCCTGCTGTTAATTCCCGCACTAGAACATTCAGCTGGTCATGCAGTTTGAAAGTATCCACCAATCTGATGGAAAACAGGATGAGAATATCAGATCAAGAGAGAACTTGGGGAAAATGTAATCACATGGAAGAGTAACAGCATCGGAGGGAAGCTTGGCACTATTATTCTCAAAACTCTAATGATCAAAAGGAGAAGCAGTGTGTTTTGAAATATGAAAGATTTTTTTTATCTCATAAAAAGTTTTTAAGAATAACTGGAATTCTGAATTTGGAACTGAAATGGATGATTACTCATTCACTTAACATCGTCAATTATTTTTTTAACGATCCCTCAATCAGGGATGCAGGAAACAGCTCCTGTCCCCCATCCCTGCTCTACCACTGACACTCTGAACAGGTGGAGACATCATTTCTACTCTCCATGCTTTGTTAGTGAGTTCACCATCAAGGGTACAGCCTCCCTGCCTCTTGACACAAAGGAGTCACGTGACCTCTCTGTACCGTGAAATGGCAGCGGAAGCGTCTCCTTTTCTCAGCCCTTTCACAGCGGCGAACACCTCCAGATGCTCCTTCACCGTCAGGTTGGGCCACAGCACGTTCTCCTGAGGGCAGTACCCCAGGAACTTGAGCGTGTCATCTCCTTGATGATCCCAGTCTGAACTACTTCCTTTCAATTCCACCTAAGAAAGTAAACCGGTTATAGAAGCACCTGTAGCCTTTTCTCCAATCACGCACTTGAGAAACTGACACACAGCTGATAAATGCCTAAATTTTTTGAGCATCAAAGAAATATTATAGAAATTACTTCATATATTTATTGTAAAAACTATTTAAACTATTAATATAAAAGTATAGTCTTACAAAGACATAACCCATATTTATCACGAAATCCTATTTCAAGAGTGGAAATATTTTTTCATTTCTCAGTACCTTTCCAGCCGTTGGCGTCATGACTCCAGATATCATTTTAATAGATGAACTTTTACCAGCCCCATTGGGTCCTAGCAATCCCAAAATTTCACCTGAAAAAGGAAGACTGACTATCAATATTGGAATATTAACATAAACCTGTTTCTTCAATAACCTTCTCAGATAGGTGTACCCCTTAGTACCATTTGAAATTTATAACATATATGTAATCCATGTCACCAAAATATGAACTTTAGCTCCTATAATTATTTAATATTAGTGAAAATTTTATGGATTTGATGTCAATATATCTGCCTCTTTTTTTCTGGATTACGTTTCCAGTTAAAAATGTGCCCAGATTGTTTTTGCTAGTAGACAGCTCGTGCTGAGTACACACATAAATGATACCTAAACTTGGGGAGTCAAGGACATTTTCTCTATCCCGAATTCCACCACCTGTGTCCAAGTCATCACCTTCTTTCGTCTGAACTAATACAAAAGCCTCTTAACTCGTCTGCCACGCAAATTCATGAAAAAAACAATGCCCAACGTGTAATTTTTTCAAAATATACATTAAATGGTGACAAAAAGCCTACTAAAACCTTCCGGTGGCATTCCACTAATTTCGTATAAAATCTGGACTCTCGGCTGTATTTGGTCCTGCTCACCTCTTTGACTTCATCCCTCCCGTCTGCAGATACATACACTGGCCTCTTTGTGTCTCAACCACTCCAAAGGTGTCCCCATATCTGGGTCCCTACCCTCGCTGTCTCCTCTGCCTGGGGTGACCTTGTCTCTTCATGCTCACATAGCTGCCACCTTCTCATCACCCAGATCTTGGCTTAAATGTCACTGCTCAGGAAAGGCCTTCCCCTACTCCAAGTGAACGGAACTCTAAGTCACTCACGTCATTTCACATATTTGAATGCCCTACATAGAACTTGCCTATGTGATAGCTGACACTTTTCTTCATAAGTTGTTTTTTGTTAATTGACCCCTCTTAGGATGTAGAATCCATGAGGACAAGATGTCGCCTATTTCTTTCATAATTATATTTCCAGAGCCTAAAACAGTCCCTGGCACACTCAACAAATATACATATATGTTGAATGAATGAATGAATGCTTCAGCAAGTACAACAGTGCTCACAGCATAGATGTTCAGTCACTATTTTTAAAAATAACGATGAATGAAAAAGAAGGATTCTTCCAAACCTTTTTTAACACAGAAGGAGATATTTCTTGCTGCTATTTTCTTCTTCCTCTTTGTAAAGCAATTTTTCTTCTGGCCTGCATATTCTTTGTGTAGACAGCTGGCAATTATGACTGGTTTCTGGAATAGAGGAAGTGTGATTTTCCTCTTAAACTTCAGAGACTTTATGGTGCTATGGTCTCCCTACTGGAACCTTCCCTGCCCTATGTCATAAAGAAAACTATATTTTGAGTTGAGGATAATCCATATAGCTTGTTTTAAATGTAACATGCATTCACTGATGTTGATAATATTTCTCTCTTCTAAATGGACTGAGAAAACCGTATGGTTTCATGGAAGGTGGTCATTGCCTTCCCAGAAGAGATATGTCTAACCTCATGGAAACATCACAACATCTAAGTCAAATAACCCTTAGAATCTTAATCTCTACTTAGGATTTTAGAACAAATCTCGCATAAATTCCTCAACTCATGAAATATTTAGTTTTGAAATTATAGCTCTACTTATCAAAGTCCATTTTTCTCAAAAAAAAGAATAAAACCATTAGATTTGGTGTTCTTCTTTGAGCTTCCACAACACTCCAAAGAAATGCCTGCATATTTAAGATTATGAAAATGCCGAATTACGAAAATGCACCAAACTCCAAACTTTCAAAATGAAAACCAGCATGTCAACCTCTATGCCTGGCAGTGCTTGACTATTTCCATTAAATCCACTTTGTCACTTGCTTTTCTACCTCCTCTGAGTTTGAAGTAGTCAGGGCGGTCGCTGTTCTTATTCTTTCTGCTTGAACATCTTCGTCTTCATCTACGGATTCTTCTGGATTTGGTGGAGCATTTCTACTTTGGGGGGAAATTCTGTAGAGAAAATGAAACGTGACATGTGGTTTTCTAGTTGTCAAAAATGCCTCAACTATCAGCTTCCCTGTGGTTTTACCATTGGCCTTTCAACAAACTGGTGAGGATGATGGCTGTGCGAATACTGCTTCTGCTTTTGCCACCAACTTCCATCTGGGTAGCTAGAATCCTTTTCTCAGTGGTGTTGTAATACTTTCAGTTAGCATCTTTGACCCTTTCAAATCGGTCAGCAAGTACTGCTGCTTCTTTAAAAATCAGGTCACCTACATTTTCTCTGTTCCCTCCGAGCCCATCTTAATCATATCCGACATTCACCTCAGTCTCCTTCCCTGTTGACCCCATCTAGAGTCCCTCCACTTGTGAAGTTACTCAGTCAATTCCATCCTATCTCTTCTGTTCAAGGAGATATAATCATCTTTGATGGGACAATGGTCCATGTGAGAACTTATTAAGTTTTTTTGAAAAAGTGAAAGCTTCCCCTCAGCTGGTCAGTGGCTGAACTCTGCCCAAGAGTCCTGTTTCCTGGCAGTAATCAAGCAATCCTCTCACCATCATGAAAATATCATGCCGTTTACGTTGTAAATATAAATCCGTATTAACAGGTTGATAGTGCAACTACTATCTAGGAATATTAAAAATACAATATTTAGTACGAAACTAAGTTTTATCCCAACCTGAAAACAGGATCCTTTTGCATTATTTTCTTTCCACACTTTATTTCCATGCATCTTAGAACAAAAACGAATAGCAAAGCCTGAAAGTAAGGCTAGGAGCAAAGAAAAACAGTTATATTCAGGCACAAATTCACAAATATTATTTAAACGTTTGAATTAAATTGGTGGCCTTTTGTCTCCAGGTAAAATAAATGTGAATCCTTCTTACAATTCAGGGGAGAAATCCAGCGATACAATGACAACCCAGCTTAGTGGAACCTGTCTCCTTTCCTCCTTTCACAGCCTATATCCAGTCTGTCAGCAAATTCTATCTGCTGTACCTTCAAAAGTATCCAGAACCCAACTACTTCTCACCCCTGCTTGTCCTACTCCCCCTGAAGTCCCAGGTCATTATAACTTCATTATAATATTGTAGCACCTTGTAACCTGGTCTCCCTTTTCCTTCCTTTCCCCAAACATCTATTCTCAACACAGTCACTAGAGCTACTCTTTTAAAACACAAGGTCTTGAAAACATAAGTTTGATCACATCACTTTGCTTCAAATCCCGCAATGACTCCTCCATTACTCAAAGAACGTCAAAGTCCTTGTAGTGACTCAGAACGCTCTGTGTAACACGTTCCATTCACTCTACATTTTACCCTATTACCTCTGTGATTATCTCTCCTACCACTCTCCCCTTTGGCCACTCTGCCACAACCACACGGGCCTCCCAGCTGACCCTGGAACAAAACGGGGTCACTCTTGCTCCCTCCCACTGGAATGCTCATCCCCAAACTTTCCCTACAGCCTGCTTCCTTGCCTCCTTCGGATCTTTATTTCTCAGCCAGGTCTTTCCTGATCACCCATCTGACACAGCATCTATTATTTATTTAGTTTATTATCTGTCTCCTTCCACAGGAATATAAGCTCCAACGGGGCAGGGCCTTCTGTCTATATTTCCTCCTGTGCCTAGGAACGTACTGACACATTGTATTCAAAGACAGTAGCTTTCTTCACCCTAAATATACCAAGGTAATTGGTTTTTTTTTTTTTTCATTTTTATTATTTGATTTTTGCCTTTTTATCTCTAATTCAAAGAATTTGTTATATTGCATCTGTATTTTTTAAAGCTCTCTCCAATTTGGAGAGGGCAGCAAAAAAGATAAATACACATGAAAAATCAACTTTATGTTGGTTTCTGGATGTACACAGCCTATTCATGCACATAAACAGTAACTCTAGGATTTAGAATCATGTCCAAATGTAATTGCTTTACCTAACACTATATTAAAAACATTTTCAAAGTTGGCACACTCCAAACAAGATGAAATAGTTATCACAGTAAATGATAAATATCCAGAAAAAAAAATAGATGGAAAGGTAGGAAGTCCTTACTATTAGGCATAAGAGAAAATCAGCTCCACTCAGGTCATAATTTGGGTGTTGAATGTTATCTTGGTGCTTGGCAATGTTCTGAAAAGACCAAAAATAAACGGGTAAGTGGAAATTAATCAGCTTTACAATTTGCATTTCACTAAACTGGCATTTTGCATATTGAATATTTTCCTCATTAAGCTTGGCTCCCCTGTGTGCGCTGGTGACAAGCAATTGCCTGCAAAGAAGGGGGGTGGGGGTACCTACTCAACTCTGACTCTCTCTCAATGAGCAGGTTTCCTATGTTGGTTCCTCCCTTCCTATTCTCTCTCTCTTTTTTTAATCTTTTCGTTTAGTGTTTGGTGAAAGTATTGAAAGTATGACAGAGAGAGTTGCCTGCATCATAAAAAATTCCATATATTAGCAATATTTGTCCTAAATGCCCCTCACAAGCCTTTTCAGGGTCCCTTCCTATCCCATGGTGACTATTTCTTCCACCAATAATTAGTCTTATCAAATTATTCTTTCTTCATCAATCAATGCATTCAGAAAGTAACTCACTCCTCCTAAGTAATGTGTGACAGACCTAGGTCAATGTATTTCACCTTGTAGGCCTATTTATATTTTAGGAGAGAAATGCTTTAAAAGCAAAGGAATGAATTTCCAATCAAGAATCCAGGCATTGCTCTGTCAATGGAAAAGTATTTTTGCAGCTGGAGGGCTTTCCCTAGACCCCAAGAACACAAACGATTAGGGAAGCCCTCTCTACTGTCTTTAAAACCGCTTCATCCAGGATGATGCAGGGCTATAACTGAGCATCTCTGCTCTCCTCATCGTACACTTCTTTCTGTTTGAATGACACTCCGTTTATTTAATGCCTCCTGGTCTTTCCTGTTTCAATACCTCGCTTTCCTCTACAGAGTATGTTTACCTCCACCCCACTCTCCCACTAATTAATTCTTACTCATTCTTTAGGATTCTGTTTAAACACTGCTGCCCCAGAAGAATTCCCCAGCTCTCCCTAGCGCATCACCTTTGTTTCATATCCCTCCCTGGGCCCTTCGTCTTCTCCTTTGTAACCTTTCAACCCCTGGCATTGATTTCCCTGGGGCTGGACTGTCTTTGTCTCCACTAAGCTCTGTGAGAGGAAGGACTGCTATCTTGTTCATCAGGCCATAAAATTCACCCATTTTAAGTGTACAATTCAAGGAAATTTCGTAATATTACAGAGTTGTGAGAGCAACACCATAATTCAATTTAAGAACATTTCCGTCACCCCAAAGAGATACCTTGTACGCATTTGCTGTCACTCCCATTCCCACCCCAGCCCCAGGAATCCACCAGCCTACTTTCTGTCTTTATAGGTTTGGCAAAGCACTTGCATAGGTTGCATATTCAAAATTAATAACACAGTTGGTAACATTTCTCACCTCTCCCAAAAAAGTTAGAAATCCACCCAAGGTAGATGGGGGAACAAATATCATGCTAGGAATCAAGCTGGGTAAGTCGGCTCGATGTATTACAACGATGCGAAACATGATGATTGAGGCCTATAAGATAAGTTGAAACATACTGCATGTCAGACATAGTCCATTGATGTTTGAGAAAATACTGAAGATGTAGGTGTTCTCATCACATATCAGAATTTCCCCATATGCAGATACACGCCTTCCAGAAGGAGAAGGGAAGGGAGCCACATTTGTTATTGAGAATGTATAGGACTTTTAGCTCCCCAACAGAAAATTTTTTAGATAAAAATTCTGGACACTAAGGTGAAAGCTAAAATGACCAAATAGACTCTCTGACAGTGATTAAAGGCAATATAAGACAACAGGATAAAGAGAGGAATTACCTTTTTATAGCTAAGGTACCAATATTGTTAATGTATAAAAACTTATACACATTGAAAAGGAATATGGGCAGTTATTAAAAAGACAAATCCATATTGTCTCTCACCTAGACTAAAGCATTCCAGTTATCCTCCCTGGTCCATTTCTTCCTGATTCCAAACAAATGATTTTTTCCAAGATTGTGCATTTTGATTGCATGGACTCGTTTTCTTTTAGAATACTGGTAAATGTGTACTTAAAATTTTAATTTTTCTGTCTTTTTTTTTTTTTTTTTGAGGAAGATTAGCCCTGAGCTAACATCTGAGGCTAATCCTCCTCTTTTTGCTGAGGAAGACTGGCCCTGAGCTAACATCTGTGTCCCTCTTCCTCTACTCTATATATGGGACGCCTGCCACAGCATGGCTTGCCAAGCAGTGCCATGTCCACACCTGGGATCTGAACCGGCGAACCCAGGGCCACCAAAGCGGAATGTGCAAACTTAAATGCTGCGTCACCGGGCCAGCCCTGATTTTTCTGTTTTAAGGATCAATTTATCAGTCAACAGGTGTGTATTGGGCACTGTACTGAACCTTTGCTGGATCTTGTTAATGTATTAACTATAATAAAAATAATAAGAATCTTAACTACTAAATTCACTGAATATCACACAAATACCAGGCATTTGGAACTTAGCATGCATTGTTTACTTAAATCCTCGCAACAACTCTATAATGTGGTTATTCTTATTATCCCTCCCTTTATATATGAGAAATCTAGGGTCCAGACAAGTTAAACAATATCCTCAAAACCGCAGTTAGTGAATGACAGAGCTAGAATTCAAAACTCTGTGTGTGTGTGATTCCCAAGCCTTTAAGTCAGAGAAATGTACTATTTTGAGGGATTGTTACACAGGAGAATGTTGTGTCAATATGAAATGAATTTACATTTTTGAGGAATACATAGTCTACATATAAGAAGTAACTGGTAATAGAACCATATAACTTATAACCAAGTGTTCAGTAAGAGCACAATAAGCATTTAAGATGGCAAACCCATAGGACTTTTCTCATTTTACAGTCACCACAATCTCTTTGCAAAGGTATTGCCCGATTGTCCATGTTTACATATGTCTCTTCTCTTGGTTTCCATGACGTCACCCTCTTCTTCCTTTTTCTCCTTTCTCTTTATTTATTATAACTTTAAGTCCTTTAGTCCGCTTAGCCGACTCTTATTCTAAGCTGACTCTGCTTATTCTACTCGCCTGTAAGTTTCTACTTTTGTGAGTCGTTTTTTCCTCCTTTCTCATCTACTGGAACAAGAGAGGATTCCAAACAGCAGCAAAGGAAATACTCCATGGCTCAGCATGCTAAGAAGATGTGCGGCTATACCTCCACCACTTGGCTGAAATATGGGCTGGAAGGGTGCTTCCTTATTAGACAAGGGCCTAAGATATCCTTGAAGCCCACACCCTTGGGGGTACCGGAGTCCAGTGGAATCTAGAAACAAATTAACTCTTAACTGGCTTTACTCAATGATGAAGAGACATTGCCTAGACTGTCCTTCCATATATACTCAAGATCACAAAAGGACTACTGCACTAACCATCAACATATGATACATTTTTATATATACTATAGATTCTCTTCTACCTTCTACCATGTATATAGAATAGAATCTGCATTGTCGATTATGAATTCCTCTTGCATAATACCTCAGCTGCAAGTGAATAAATGAACACAGGAAGCAATTTGACTTTGTTGTTTCTAAGGAAAGTCAAGATAATGCAGAACCTCTTTCTATTAGGTTTGTGGACTAATGTAGCGATTAAGATGTTCTCATTGTGATATGAACAAACTACAGCAAATAAAGGAGCACAGCAGAGAGTCAAACACGTGACACTGAAACACTGTATTTTTCAAATTGAAATATATCTGCATATGATGGGATATCTTTTTTCCATTGCTGCCAACTATTTTTGAATTATCATGGATTAAAATAAGAAAAGGCAATATTGTAACACATTCCACTTCCCTCTCCTCTCTATGGTGTAATTTTAAGATATTAATTTTCCCCATTGCTTAAGACAAAATTGACTATATTTAACATTACATTGAAAGTTTAAAAAAGAACTCCATCGCTCAATTTATTTATTTGTATATGTACTTACGAAAGAGAAGGAAAATGCCCAAAGGCCACTATTTTTTCTCCTCTTGCGGAAAATAAATGATATCACGTAGGTCAAGAAAACAAGGGAAATTGCGTAACCAAGCGTAATCACAACCTGAAGATAATACAAACAACATCAAAGTCAAAAAATGAAATGTTACCTGAGGGAAAAATTAAATTACACATATTTAAAAAATATCTCATTGCTCATGTACTTTGCCTGGTATTTTGGCTTTTGTTTATGACAAAATAGAAATGAAAATAGATCAAATCAAAATATAAATGCCTCGATTATATAAAATACCAATGCTAAAATTTATTATGAATAACTTTGTAAGATATTGTTTACATAATGTGTTACTTACCAAAGCAAACACAATTCGACTTGTGATATAAATGTGCCCCATGTTTGCTATGTAGAAAATTAAGTACATTAAAAGGAGAATAAAAGCAAAGAAGGTAGTATCCACCAGTGCCTGCCCACACCAGTAGGCAGAAGTGTACAGGCCCGAAATCCATAGCTGAGACTTAGCTCTTTTCTGATGAAAAAACACAAGATGAACAGAGATTCAGCTGAAACCCAAATCCAAAACAAACACATTGAAAGGTTTTTTAAAAGACAAATATAATTTAATCTTCTAATATTTTTTAATCTTCTAATATTTTTATTTTTTTTAATAATTTTAATTATGCACATACTGTTTAGGAACCTGAAGTCTAAAGAGCCAATTCCGTAAAGTTGGCAATTTTGAAAAAGAGTATTGTTTTATGTTTTTAATTTTTTGGTGAGGAGGATTGGCCCTGAGCTAACAACTGTTGCCAATCCTCTTTTTGCTTGAGGAAGATTGTTGCTGAGCTAGCAGCTGTGCCAATCTTCCCCTGTTTTGTATGTGGGATGCTGCCACAGCACGGCTTGATGAATGGTGTGTAGGTCTGCACCCAGGATCCAAACCTGTGAACCCGAGGCTGCTGAAGCAGAGCACACAAACTTAACCACTACACCACCATTCTAGCCCTGAGTATTGTTTTGCTTGATAAGTTTGATTCAGAACATCACTTTAACTCATGAATAGTGAATAGAAAAGTAGACCTCAAAATGATCGAGACATTAATCTCCTTCAAAAGAAATGTTATTTTGTGGCCTGAAGGATAATAAATTCTCCATTATCCAAATATGTTCTGGGAGAGTCACTGGCTTAGAACAGTGAAGGATGACTTGTCTAAATTTGGTTTAACTGTTTTTCCTGGATAAAGGGCATAACCAAATACAAATATAACAAAAAATTGTATTCTCCGCAGTACATAGGAGATTCAAGCCTTACATTTGGTCCTCAATTTCAACATCAATGATTTCCTCCTTGTGGTTAAGAAACAATACAGTCAAAAGTTTTATAATATCCCCTTTTGAAGGTTTAGACTAATTTGAGTCCCTGAAAAATTATTGCACGTTTCCTGTAATTTGAAGTAAAAAGTATTTCATGTTTTTAGAAATAAATTTTCTGACTTGATAGAAATAGTGTTTAACTATATTATCTAAATTAAACATGTGTTTAAATGTTTTTCTCACAGGAAAATATTTTGAACACATAGCACTCAAAATATAATTACTGAAGTCCCTGAAATTTCTTTTCCTTTTTCCCCTCTTTTCTTACTTTATAATCGCTGACACTGCTCATGGCGATGTAGGGAGAAATGCTGCACACAACCAAAAAAAAGAAAATGGAGCCTTCCAGCATCTCAGCCCAGAGTAGAACATAATTCTGCAAATACAAAAGGTACTTTAAACTAGTGAATATTCTAAAAAGTGAAACAACTACTAATAATCATAAAGAAGATGCTTTTCAAAATATTGAAAAATAAAAGTAAAAATGTACGTCTAATTCATCAACATCCCCACATGGAAGTGGGAGGGAAAATGATTTCTGATCATTTAACATGAGGCTTCGACTCCTAGAAAACAGAGAAGTAAAAACAATAAAAACATTTAATAAAAGAAAGAAATAACTCAGCATCCACTTCAGGGTACAGATCAAAAAGAATCGAAAACAGGGTCTCAGAGATATCTGCCCACATGTGTTCACAGCAGCACCATTCACAACAGTCGAGAGGTAGAAGCAACCCAAATGTCCATGCACAGATAAATGGATGCACAAAATTTAGTACATATATACAGTGGAATATTATTCAGCCTTAAAAAGGGAGGAAATCCTGTCACAAGGCACAACATGGATGAACTTTGAGGACATTATTCTAAGAGAAATAAGCCATCACAAAAAGACAAATACCATATGATTCTACTTATGTGAGGTAACAAAAGTAATAAAATTCATAGAAACAAAAAGTAGAATGGTGATTGCCAGGGGTTGAGGGGAGGGAGAAATAGGGAGTTATTGTTTAAAGGGTGTAGAGTGGTAGCTCTGCAAGATGAAAAAGTGGTGGAGATCTGTTTCATAATAATGTGAATATACTTGACAATACCAAACTATACACTTACAAATGGTTGTGATGGTAAATTTTATGTTACGTGTTTTTTACCTCAATACAAAAAAGTAATAATTCCGAAATTGCAATCCTAGATGAACAGATTGTTCAGGCCTGAGCATGTCTCTCTCAGCAAACCTAATGATGTATCTTTGAAGCTGGGTGGGCGTGTTCTGAAGCATAGGCATAAAAAGAAAACTCAACGCCGCTGAGCCCATCTTCAAGGAGATGAATTTTAAATCGCTACCCCCAAATCAGTGTCTGCCTGAGGCTGTACTATGCTCAGGCAGGGTACAAGGACTGCTTCATGGATATAATTACAGGGGAGCAATGCAATAGCCTATCTCAAAATGATTCTACAATTCTCAAACTTCATTTAAGGCTTTGAAGGCTACATCTATAAATTCCAATTTTTCACCAGGTAGGAAAATGCATTACCGTCTTCATAAGAATGACTGAGAGAGGAAAAATATGTCCATTGCTGATGTCTCAAGTATATTCCATCCATCTGCTCTTGCATTTACCCCCAGCACCACTAATGCAGTGAAGCCAAACCTGAATTCGACCCCTGTGTCACAAAATGGGCTTCCCTTTTTGATGGTTCCATTTCCCATCATGTTTATTGTTCTTCCAACCTCCTGGCTTAAAACAGTTGGAGTCAGCTATGAGAGGTCCCTCTTGGGTATCAGTCAGGGTCTAATCAGAAAACCATCCCCACCTTCAGTACTTAAAATAGAGAGAAATTAATCCTACAGTGGTAATGGTTACATGAGTGGAAAGGGCAGAGAAGCCAAGAAGGATGATTAAGCAAGAAGCCACTGTCACTTCTGGGCTACAGCGACAAAGGAAGGAAGGGACGTTACTGGAGCCTAGGGTAGGGAATCCTCCTGTTCTCCTGGCTCCCACCACTGCTTCCAGTGGCCTAAACCCACCCTGTAGCTGGCCGACAAAGAATCCTGAAAATGCAGCCTGTGTATATCAGACACCCCTGCAACAGAGAGCAACCATGGGAGGTGAAGGCGTTCATCAGAAAGCATAGAGCCCAAGAACTGGCAAATTCTCCTTCATGTCAGTCAATCTACCACCTATGTAGTCAATGGAGGATCCACTGACAAGTTATGTTAGATTTATAAGATCCTAAAGCTGGGTTACAAGTGCTCTTATTTCCAATTCAGTGTACACACTCTCTCCAATACACCTCTGCAGTCAAGTGCGTATAATTTTTCAGAAGATTCCCTGAGAGACCATGACATAATACTGAAAAGTATTCCCCTATGAGAATTGTCTGATAATAATAAGAAACAAATCATATTCTGTTAGATAGAATCTGTTTAAAATGTTAGAACAAAATAATAATTTTTAGGATAACAACCAACTTTGAATATTTAAAAGCTAAAGGGGAAAACATAGGTTTGTCAAATTCCTAGTTATTCAGAATGAGGAAATCTAACACTTACCAAACGAAATGAGCTTCTCTCGGTTCGAATAGGTTGTGTATGAGTAAACATTCGAAGTAGTCCATTGCTGACAATATTCATAAGGATAGGAAAACAGTGCAGTCTCTTGGTATTGCACACAACTGAAAATCTATAATCCTTAACATAAAACAAACACACACAAATAAAATAAATAATGTCAATTCTAAATTCTTAAAGAACAAAGATTTTCTATATGAGATCTCACTAGTCCCACATTCTAGCTGTGACCGTCTTCAAGTTAACTGATCTTTCTGAGCTTTAGCTTCTCCTCATCTGTGAAAGGGGATAATAAATGAGTTGTTATATAGTTTAAATGAGATAATGTATATTAGGCCCTAGCACACTGGATAGCACAGTCGGCAATATGAATTTTTATTAGTATTACTAATTTTAGATTATTTTGTCTCCATTTTACTGACGAGGAAATTTCAGCGAACAGAATTTAAAAGTGGCCCTGACAAGGAGATGCACTGTTTACAGTGAGCAAGCAAAGGAACCCTGATCTTCTGAATAGGAGACAAGCATGGGTTTCATAAAGTATTCATGGTTAAACTGCCAATGAAGCATTTTCATACTTTCCAAGACAATATTTATTTCTTCATGTTTATGAAAATGTTCATAAATTCATCAGAGGCTTAATATTGTTTAAATATTACCAATAGTTCCCATAATAAATATGTTAGAAAACTAACAAGTAAAGGAACTGACAACGTAGTTTCCCACAGTTGGCACAAGCAGATTCCATTTTTTTATGATGTACCTAGTTTAGGTAGAACTGAATCCAATGATGCATCCTCAGAGGCTTTTGTTTTTGTTTTTATTTCCCTGGTAGCAAGAAATAAAGAGGTCGCTTGACTTCATGTGGCTCCCTGACTCAGAGTTTTACTGACGATTAGGACATAGTTCCAATAGTCATGGTCCTGGAAGGATCTCTACTGCTTGCACTTTTTTTACCCAAACTGAAAGATGTTGAGGTAGTAGACCGAGAGCACCTTTCTCTCAGAGATTTCATGTGGTTATTAAAGTATGTAAAGTCTTTTCTCAATATACAAAAACATCATTTGGGTAGTTAGCCACTGAATAGGATTCCTTAAATTCATAATGATATTAGTTGATAATTATAAGGTCGAATATTTTATGAAGTCTGAATAATGCAATTACATTTAGCTACTTTGAAATGTAAAAATTATCTAAATCAACAGTTAAGACAGAAAATGTTATGTTTCACCCTTGAAACTAATATAATGTTGTGTGTCAATTATATTGCAATAAAAAAGCAATCATAATAAATATGAAAAAATAAAAGAAGCCAGACAAGAAAGAGAACATATTTTATGATTCTAAGTTATACACTTGTGAAGCTCAGAAACAGGCAAAACTAAGCTATAGTGATTAGGGAAGTATTATAAGTGGTAAAACTATAAAGAAAAGCAAGAAAGTGAGGAGCATAAAAGTGAGATAGTGGTTACTTTGGAGGGAGGGAGAGGATTATCATTAGGAAAGATAGCTAGAGGGCGTCCGGGATGCTGGTAGTGGTCTTTTGTTTAACATGAATTGTGATAGCATGGGTAACATGAGTGATCACTTAATATTTTAATTCACTTTGCAATAATTAAGCTGTGCATATGTATTCTATGTACTTTTGCACAGGTATATTATTTCCACGTTTTAAAAAATTACAAAAAATAAAGTACTTATTATTACAGAGGAGAAAAAAAGATGGAAAATGTTTAATAAAAACTTCTTTCAACCTCACAGTTTATTCAATAATGAACCAAAATGTTTTTGAATTGAGTTGCTGTACACTACCTAGGTTGACTTTCTGCAGTTTTTGAAACAGTGAAAATGTAGCACTTTATTAATGCGTTGGGGGTTTTTTTTTGTCATAAAAGCAAAACAAGAGGCAAACATACCTTCTGTTTACCAGAAACTATGATAGCTCCATTGTATGACAGGTCATCAGTGCCATTTCGATTTTCAAAGTCATCTACTTCCAAAAGTATATTCTGATGCTTCAGTGACTGTATAAAATCTTCAATATCTGATTCTAGTATGAAATCAATAACAGAAGACAATATAAAAGCAGGAACAAACGTTTCAAAAATTTTTTCAAATTTTTAAAGTCAATACGTACAGAATATTATGTGAAGGTCTGTCTCTTTGGGTATCACAGTAAAATTGGTCCGTGAAAGAGAAACCACTCTACCATCTTCAGTTTATTAAATCTTATGCTGTGATGTTAGCTTTATAATTTTGTGTAATGCCAATTAACACATGACCATTAAAACAAGATAATTCTATTTTATGATTCTTCATTAAAATACATTTGAACTCAATAATTTGCAGAAATACAATAATTATATGAGGAGTACTTCAGATTGTCCAGCCTAAAATGGCCAATAACACTCTCCTCTCTCTCTTATTCTTTGAAATAACAGAAAAATGAATATATGTATGCATATATATAACATATACCTCTATTTTACATATTTACATATGTATTATGTACACATATATTACATAAATATATTTTTTCTCAGGAAGTGGGAAATGAAAAGGGTGCCACTATCACACTGAAGTTTTTGATTTGCCCCTAAAGAAGAAAGCAGATGAGATCGTTTGACAGAGAAATAAGAGCTGAGAAAAACCCACAGCCTAGATCACACAGGACCAAACAATTGAAAAGAAAAAACCAATTTCCAGGATATCAGAACTCAGAGTGGACAAATTTGAGGGGCAAAGTGGGCTCTGAAGTCTTGGTCAGACTCATTGACTGGTTAAATACACCTCAAACAAGGTGACCACAGGCCCCTCCCTGTGTTCCACATAGAGCAGGCAGCAGCTGTAGCTGTCTCCAGGATACAAGACCCCAAATTTACTTTCAAGAGATAGTATCTGGAGAAAACAACACAGCAGGACATAAAGTAACTCCAGGCAGTTAGAACGACAGAACGGAATAGGAAAAGGAAATGAGGACTCTCATTTTTTCCTCATTTGGACTTTGAAACGGGAGTTCATCCTGGGGACTCTCAGAGGGGGCTCTGGGATCGGAATCCTAATTAGGATTTCCACCAGGTGGGATCGGGAGGTACACATAGCAAACAGGCTTTCCATGCATCCTGGGGCAGTGCGTGTCCCCTCCATCTCCACAGTCACGTGAGGTAGGACACCATAATGGTGACCACATTCACCTGGGCAAATATGGATTCTCCAATTTAAAGATGAATACTGTACGAATGATCATCAGATTGTGAGAAAAGAGAAAAACAAGATGGCATAGAAATCCCAAACTTAAATCACAAAATACCTAACAAGTGAGTACAGGGAAGAAAAAATAAATAAGTTGACACAAATACATTGTTCTCAGAGTAACCAGAGAGGAAAATACATTCATTAGACAACAACAGGCTGAAAGGTAAAGAAACTGTTCTAGATCTTGAAAGTCAAACATACAATTAGCAAGGCTTTCAGTTTTAAGATAAGAGAGTGAACACAATTTACTTTCCAAAACCCAAATAGAAAACCATAAGAATGAGGAAAAGAAATGAAAAGAAACTCTTTGCTTAAAGAGAAGACATCTACACCTTGAATCACAAATGTACATAAAAATCAGAATGGGCCGGGGAACTCATCAAAAGAGGACTCTTACTCTGAATATATTTTAATATCTTGGGCAGAAACATAAAAGCTTCTTCAAAGTTAGATAACCAGTTAGACAAAACCAGTTACCCATTATTTAGGACAACAAGAGCACAGGCTCCAAACTGTCTTAAGGAATCTTCCTAGACCCTGTTGGAGGGGCACGGGGTATAAAAATGCCATCTCTATAGCTGAATCAGTGTGCATAATATTTACAGTAGAGGTTAGGCCGCTGTAACAAAGAGATCTAAAAATAGAGGGGTTCAGTCAATATAGAAGTTTATTTCTCTCTCCCACAGTGTCTCAGGGTAGTCAGATAAAAAGGCAGCTCTCCTTTACCACGTTCCTTCTATCTTGTTTCTATAGTCCCTACAGTGACCTGTGGGTTCCTATAGTGACCCACCTTCCCTTTATCTTGTCCCACCATCCCCATCATCTCCAAAATCAGAGCAAAATGCACTATTCCCCAGAAGTTGATTTCTATACATGAAGTTTAATCACACATTTTCTTCTCTCATGATTTGCTTTTTTTCCTTTTACATGTGCTATTTAACAATAACAATAACTTATCTCTGGATTTAAATTTTGTTTGTCTCTTCACCTGTGTTATTGATGATCAATAGGCTGGTACGAGAGTCTTGGGGAAGTTGTCCAGGAGAGAGGAAATACAATTCAGGTTTAAATTCCCAATCACTCTTTTGACTTACTACAGCGAAAAGTATCTTTTCCACAATCAAAGGGAATATTGCGATTCCAAATACCAATAGTCTACCAATAAAGAAAAATAACCATATGAATCTATAGTAATTTTATTCATTCAGTCAAAAATTTCACAAATATTTGTCAAATGCCAAATCTACACCAGCCCTGATTATAGGTGCTAAAATCCTGAAAGTCATATCTTCGCATGCCAACAGTACTAAAAGGCATTGCTATATAAACACCAGGCTATCAAACTATGAAAACTAAGCAGATCTGTGGATTAGGCTAATCGAGTGCTAACATACAGGTATTCCCACTGTCCCCAGTAAAATCAAATGCTGCATTTCGCCATCCTCTGGCAAGAATGTGGCATATTGTGCTCTAGTTTTAAATTCTCTTCTGGTTTGATCCTCTTTTGAAATTCACTTACAAAACCACAGTACTCTGATACTCACAGGGCCAAAAGTGCTTTCTTTCCACGTTTTAACTTTAAGAAACGGAGCCATGCTATTGCACAGACCTGCATCTTCCAGAGGCCCATGTCACTCAGAGCCTCCTGCATTTCAGGGAAAGAAGAGCGAGCCAGATCCATATTGTGCAGGCTTTCTGTGTCTCTTGTCATTTCTGCTTGTTCAAAATCTGCACATACACACATATGCACACACATTATTAATGTCATCCTTGGGTATCAGTATTCTCTTTTCAATATTAAAATTTGTTTTAGAATGTTTGTGGTTACAAAGAAAACTAAGAAACAGATTACATTTATGATGTTCACATTCAATAAATCTAGTGATAAAGCATGCCAAATTCATACCAAAAGAAGAATTCACTAAAGAGTGATCTCATTATGCCCAGTCTTTCAACAGACATAGAAGGTTCCACATGTAAGAATATTCTGAGAGATTCTGAGAAATCTTCTCCACAGGAATAGCCAGTCATTGATTCCTAAACATCTAGTACTAAGCTATCAAGAGTTGTAGGTGAGAGGCCGGCTCCGTGGCCGAGTGGTTAAGTTTGCATGCTCAGCTTCGGTGGCCCAGGGTTTTGCTGGTTCAGATCCTGGGCACAGACCTAGCACCACTCATCAGGCCATGCTGAAGCGGCATCCCACATCGCAGAGCCAGAAGGACCTATAACTACAATATACAACTATGTAGTGGGGGGCTTTGGGGAGAAGGAGAAGGACAAAGAGAAGAAAAAGAAGAAGAAAAGGAAGAAGAAGAAGAAGGAAGAAGAGGAGGAGGAGGAGGAGGAAGAAGAAAAAATGATTGGCAACAGATGTGAGCTCAGGTGCCAATCTTTAAAAAAATAAAAAAAAGAAGTGTAGGTGAAAGATTACCAGCTCTGAAACCACCAGATCTGTACCTGATTCCCACATCTGTGACTTGGGATGATTTGGGGCAAATCAATTAACTGCTCTTCTGTCTGATTTTATCATAAGTAAAATAGTGCCGATGACACTTGTTAGAAAGGTGGTTCTTGTAGGAAAGTAATGCAATATATACACACTTTTTCCCCCTAGATTGGCACCTGAGCTAACAACTTGCCAACCTCTTTTTTTTTTCTTTTGCTCTTTTTCTCCCCAAATCCTCCCCAGTAGATAGTTGTGGGTCCTTCTAGTTGTGGCGTGTGGGATGTCGCCTCAACATGGCCTGATGAGTGGTGCCACGTCCAGGCCCAGGATCTGAACCAGCGAAACCCTGGGCTGCCGAAGCGGAGCGCGAGAACTTAACTACTTGGCCATGGGGCCGGCCCCTATACACACATTTATCAAAGTGTCTGGCACAGGTGCTCTATAAATGACAGCTCTTATCAGTATCACCCATTAAAGTACATACAAGATGGTCCCAAGACTTTCCCCCATTTAGACCTTTGCAGAAGTTTGCATATTAACAAGCTAAGAACAATTTTTTATAAGAAATGTCACTCAGACTTCATGACCCTGATTGAGAACCTTTTATGTCTTCAAAGTGTCCAAGAAGCAGTGAGCGTCTGAGGATAGGAGAAAACTGCTTAAATTGTAGGCAAATAGTTTGCAAATAGTGATTTGGTATGTTCCAAGAAGGGATCTGTGTTCAGTCCTAGTAATGACGTTAGGAAACAATGACAGCCCTTCCCAAACAGCAGAGTCAAATTTGGAATTTGTCACATTCCTTAGTGGGACTCTTACATAAGACATTATAAATACTAAATTGGTACATGATTATTTGGAAATGGACTTTCTGTGAATTATGTAAATGGATTTACCTTGTTCGAAAGCTGATTTTCCTTCCAGTTTCATGAAAACTTCATTCAGAGTTGACATGGAAACATCATAACTCATCACACCTTGGCCAGAACCCTTATCAAGATCACTAAAAAGGTCTAAGGCAACAGATCAGATCAGATACATTTGGAAATATCACATTGATAACCAAATCTAGTAAATTACATTTAAAAGATGATGCAGAATATTGTTCAGAAAATTTATGTCTTTGGAATATCCCAGTAAGCGGAGGCAAAATTTCATTAGAATGCTCTCCCTCTCTAAAATGCATATGCCAGACCTCTCTCTGTATCCTCGAACCATCTGCACTCCATCTTCTATCTCCTACATGTAGTGGGTCATCCCAAACAGCAGGGAAAAATGCTGTAATGCCACCCAGTAAGCAAAGACAAGCATCAGCAAAAAAGCAAACAAAAAAAACCCAATCTCCTCCTACACTCACACTCACACACACACACACACACACACACACACACACACAGGGCTCAAAGATTTGTCTACTTTGTTGCCTTTGAGTTGTCACATCCTATTCAACTTAACCCCCACAAATCCAAATGCTATTTTTATCCTTCCACAGAAGATGCCCTTTTCAAGGTCATCAATGACTCCATGCACAAGTTTTATTCTATTTTTATTTTACTCTTTTAACTCGGTCTCTCTCTCTCTCTCTTTTTTTTAATTCAGTGGCATTCAAAGTTGTTGACTACTCCCTCCTTCTAGAAACATTTTCTCCCTTGAGTTAATGAGAACATATTCTCTTGTTTTTCCTCTAACTTCATCGGGAGCTCTCAGTTTCCATCTCCCTCTGACTCCTCTTCTACTTTTCCCTGAGGACTCAGTCCTAAATCACCTTCTCTTTTCGTACACTCTGATCCATTCTCTTTGCATCAAATCCATCTATATCCTGATGATTCCCAAATTCAGTTCTCACTTGGCTCTTCTCTGATTTCCAATGTTCTATAACCAACTAAATACTTAGCCATTCGATATCTCCACTTGGAAGTCTAAAAGCATCTCAAAGTAAACATTTCCAAAACAGAACATTAATTTCTCCTTCTTCATCCTACCCAAATGTCCCTACCATCATTTTACAATAAATGACACCAGCTTCCACCCAATGATTGAAGCCAAAAATTTAGAAGAGTCTCTTTATTTTTCACTTTCCTCATGCTCCACAGACTGGCCATCAGTCAGACTCCTTGACTTTATCTCCAGATATGTTCCAAATCCATCCCCTTCCATCCATCTTTCAACTGGTACCACGGTAGCCCAATCACCATCATCTTTGACCTGTACCTCTGAAATGGTCACATAGCTGGTCTCCCAGTATCTACTCTTGTTCCGCTACATCCAGAGTGATCTTTTCTATCCAGAGAATGAAAATATGTCACATCACATCAATCCCTTGTTTAATGATTTTCAGTGGTTTCTCAACGCATTTAACATAAAATTAAAAGACCACACCACAGCCTCTAAAGCTCCATCTGAATGAGTCACTATACCTACAACCTGAGCCCTTCCCAGTTGCCACTCTCCTCCCTCCCTAACTGCACTCTGGACACCCTCTTTTCCTCTCTGCTTGGAATGCTCTAGAGCATTTTCTTTTTGTGGCCTTCTGTGACCACTCTGTATAAACCCCAGCCTGACACCAGTCATTTCTCTAACCTCCACGGCCTTGATTATTATTTTATTATACAATTGTAATACAGATCTGGGAGCCTCCTTATGTCCTAGCAAAAACATAAGTAGATAAGTACACCATTGGAATTGCAGAGGCCTGGGGTCCACGTAAAGAGGCTGCCATGGGCTTACGGACCAACACCGGGGACTCTGGCTAAGTGATATATTCTAGTGGTGGTACTAGCATATAACTCACTATTCCCCTTCCCCAACCAAAAAAGAAGGCGGGCTACTTGCACCTCACTGGACATTAGTCCAAGAACAGAATAGCACAGCATGGCCCATGGTCTTGAGGACACCATCTTCCATGCTACAACAAGGACAGAGAGAGTGCTATATTTGGAGGTGGGATTAAATCTGCATTCTTGTGTATTTTTGCTTCATGAGACTGAATCATCTAAATGAGCCTGTATAAAGCAGGCCTATAGGGAGTTAAACTTATAATAAACTAAATGTTTAAACAAAAAGAAAGCTGTTTAAGTCATTAAAGACTGAGATGCATTTCCTCACTTGTAAGACAGGGAAAATTCCAGTGCCCACCTCACAGGGACTTTGTGAGGACTAAATGAACTGATCTATATGAGGCCATTAGAACAGTGCCTGGCTCAGAGACAGCATCATACAAAGAGTTAGGGATTATTGGGACTACCTATCAAACAAAGCCTACGTTGGTTCCGCTACCCAGCAGGCTGGGAACCCATGGTGAATACTTTTGTAGAATAAATAAACTATGTTTTTCTCTGTGAAATAAATACATACACAATTAAATTAAAATACAAAAGGAAACCTTTAGCTTATGCGTGGATGTCCATCCCCGTCTTTTCTGCGCTTGCCTGTATACAGCAAATCTGCTTGTTAAGAACAGCTGCCTGAGGAATTTTTTTTCTGGGCCCTGAAGTATGCTAAGCTCATGTTGAGCACAAGAATGAAGGATCAGAAGATTTATGCTCTTGGAAGCATCTCTTAACCAATGATGGATACGGAGTGGCAAGTAAATACCCCAGCTTTCTCACCCCTCTGGTGACATAACTCTGAGCTCACGTATTTACTTATCTATTTATTTCTCCAGTGGTATTACTCCTCCATTGCTTATTGCAAACTTTCCTGGCTTCCTTCCCTTCCCTCTCATGTCCCCACTCCCTGTTGGAGCTTCTAGGCATCAATTATCAAACAAATTAATTGCACTAATATCCTCATCTCAAGTTCTGCTTCTTGGGGAACTCAATCTACAACAAAATCCAACTCCTTTAAAGAATAAAAATTGTAGCAATAACGTGAACATTTGTTCCCAAATTTCATTCCATCGTAATCATATTTAAGTTACCTGGAAATTTATTTGTCTTTTCCACAGGCAAAGTATACACAAGCTTTTCTTTGCTTTCGGCTTTTAATTTAGCATCAGGGATGTGACGATTAATGAAGGATGTTATTTTTTCTGGATCACATATTTCATTTGTGTACAAACTAATATTTAAAAGAAAAGACAATTTAATTTGTATTTTCTCCACTGCTACTAGAAAGAAGAGCTTTTACTGAATATCTAGCCTTTGAGTACTACTTTACTTGGCTTTATGGAACAAACAAAGTGAGTAAACAATAACAATAATAATAATACCATCAGTTTGAAAAATCCTATGATCTACACAGAGAAGGTGTATAAACTCAGAAGAACTACAAATATACAAACAAATACATACTGTAATTAAAACTGTATATATCAAATAGGAAGATAAACAGAGGGAGGTGAGAACATTAGGCAGAGGAGACTTCTTAGGGAAATAAAGATTACACAAGACCAGGTAGATATCAGAAATTAGTGGCTGATAGGGAAATTTGGCCTATGTACACGTTTTGTTTGGCGTAAGTTTCTTTATTTTTGATTTTTTTTGCCTGGACACCCTTTCTTGTTAGACCCAGTCTTCTTTACTCTCTACCACCAGATTTAATCCCTGCTGATACTACCTTCTGAAATTATTTGACTTTGTGCCCTGTGAAAGAATGAAAATATATTACAGAATTATATGGGTCAGCCGAGGAAAGTGGAGGTGGGAAGAAAGTGGAGGTTTACGCTGCATGGAGCAGCTGCTTGGAACGTGTAGCTCTGCTGAGATCAGTCAGCCTGGGCTAATTTTGAAATTTTGCTTATCATTGGCATTAGCAAAGATACAAGGAGGCAGGAATGTAGGAAATGCATTTGGGAAACAATGATCCATTCAGTTTGGCAGAGATGAAGCATAAGGCCAATTCTCTCTCATAAGTGTCTGCCTTTTGGATATACCAGTATATCTATCCATCTGTCTATCTCCAATCTATTCCCAAAGTCTTTACCTTAAGTGATATCCAAGACCCCATCTTCTCTTCAAAAAGACAGAAGAGCCTGCACACTTCAGTCTCCCATTGGACATGATCACTTTTCTATCTGAGTAGAAAGAAGCCAGAAAGAAAAGATATTAAGAGTCATTTCTTTCCTCTCTAAAAAATGTAGATCAGGTGCCAAAGCTCAGATTTCTATAGGAGAAGCATTCTGTGGGCATAACTATATCTATGTGCATTTAAAAATTTGAAACACACACTAAAATGTATGCATTTAAAAGGAGCTTATGAATTACAGTCGACTTCATTGCCCTGTAATACTTCCTGACAAAAAAGCATAAATTACATTGGCATGTTTTCTATTCTGGATGCTAAAGAATGCGTGGATATTTTTCAGCCAAATATATATTAAAGAAGATTTGGGTGTTTAATTGATAGCTGATGTGAAAAAAATCACCATCTTTTATGAGTGGTCACGATCAAGCAAATGTATAGTCAGCGAGGAATTCTACAGTGGGACTAGACTCCTATCATCCGCAGGCTGTTATGGAATGTAGGCACACTGAGGTAATGAGAGCGAGACTCTTGCCCCAGGAATAAACATTTCCAAATTCTTTACTGTAATACTGAGGTAAAACCAACAATTACCAGCCAGGATGTCAGCCTCATCCATGAAATTGGTGGTCAAGAGGATTACACGGTCCGTTTTCCGCTCCTTGAGGAAGCTCCACACTTGGTGCCTTGAAAAGGGATCCAATCCAGCAGTTGGTTCATCTAGTAGCAAAACCTGCAGAGGATGAAGGTATAGAAAATACGTCTCTCTTCCATATTAATTGCTTCCACATGATAGCATGGATAACAATAAAAACCAAAAAATAAATAAATAACTATCCAACAATTTACATCCACTACACTTGGACTCAGTTAAACATGGCAGGCTCTCTCTTGATGCATTACTGTGAAAGCTCTACTACTTTTAGTGGTAAAAGAAGAGCTTGACACTTTAGTGATATTCAACCTGCATTCCTCCGCATGCACAATCTCACTTACTTGAGGATCTCCTAAAATGGCAATCCCAAAGGTCAGCTTTCTTTTCTGGCCTTCACTTAAATGTTCAGCAAGGTTATCTTGAATGTTTTCTATGTCCATTTCCAATAAAACTTTTTGTACCTATAGAAGAAAATACACACAGCTTAAAATCCAAGATGATTCATTTTATCCAATTTTAACGGTTCATTACAGCAGCAGACTTTTTTACAGGACCTCATTGCCTAAATTCCTTTTTTTTTGAGGAAGATTAGTCCTGAGCTAACATCTGCCGCCAATCTTCCTCTTTTTGCTGAGGAAGATTGGGCCTGAGCTAACATCTGTGACCATCTTCCTGTATTTTATATGTTGGATGCCTGCCGTAGCATGGCTTGCCAAGCGGTGCCACATCCGCACCTGGGATCCAAACGGGCGAACCCTGGGCTGCCGAAATGGAATGTGCAAACTTAACTGCTGCGCCACTGGGCCAGCCCCCACATTGCCTAAATTTTATCCATAACAGGGCAGGTAAACCACTGAGGGCAATTCTGTGGTCATGATTCAACTTGGCAAATAGTTGGCAGTTCAATCAATCCAGCATGTCTATCTACCTCTTGTTCCACTTCCTGTGGCTGAATCCCTTTTATTTTAGCGAACAGCCTGAGGTTTTCCTTCACAGTGAGTATGTCAAATTGAACATTGACTTGAGGACAAATGCCAGTTATCTTTCTGATTTCCTCCATGTCTTGCATTTCAGAAAGATTTTTATTATAGATGGTAATGGATCCTAAGAATAGAAGTTAAAAACAATTTAACAGTGGCAAGATAATACATTTCATTAATGCTTGGAGATCTTAGGAAAATATTGGCATATATTCCAAATATCTAAAATGATGACTTCATAACTTATTAACAACTAGTAATTATTCTTAACATAAATATATGCCCAGAGTAGTGTATATTTCCCCTGGAACATCACATAGCGATGGAATAAAGATAATGATTTTCATACAAATTTGAGAAATAAAATGTATATTCAAAATCATATAGTTCTGTTAAAGAACTTTAGATAAACAAACATTATTTTCTCTTAAGCAGTCAAATTTAAACCTTAAAATGAGAGAAAGGCATACCTATGCCCTCATTCTATTATCAGACATCTTGCCTTTGAAAAATTCCTTTTTGCTCACCTTCTGTTGGAAGTGACGACCCGTTAAGGATGTTTAGTAACGAGGATTTGCCAGCTCCACTGTGACCCACAATTGCTGTGATTTGACCTTCGTATATGTCAAAGAGCAAGCCTGTTTTTAGAATAAAATATGAAAATTATAAATAAGGCACATTAGACAAGGCTGGTTCTAAAAACAGAACAAGACAATCTATCTTAGTTATGTATTCTCAAGCATTTCAATAGTTTGAAAGAGATAATATTCAATATTTTCTGGTTGCTAAAATAACATGCTTACTGTAGAATACTTGAAAAATAAACACAATCACTTAAGAGGATAAAATTAACCATAATTCCAAATATTGACATTGTAATACACTTACTTCCAGTGTGTATGCATGTGCACATATAAATATGTAAATGTACATATATACATTCACAAACGACCATACTGTATTCTTTCCTAGTCTGCCTTTTCAAATACTAAATTATAAACATTTTCCATGGTATTAATTGCATTCTAAAATATATTCACCAAAAATTTATATTTACTCTATGCCCATTTTTCTATTCTTTTGTTATAAACTGATTTTTTTTTTTTTTTTTGAGGAAGATTAGCCCTGAGCTAACATCTGGGGCCAATCCTGTTTTTGTTGAGGACAACTGGCCCTGAGCTAAATTCTGTGCCCATATTCCTCTATATTAAATGTGGGACACCTGCCACAGCATGGCATGATAAGTGGTGCATCAGTCTGAGCCCGGGCTCAACCGGTGAACCCCGGGCTGCAGGAGCAGAGCACCCGAACTTAACCGCTACACCACCACGCCGGCCCCTTGTTATAAACTCTTTGCATTTACATGTCAATAGCAAAAGTCATTTAGCTAAGAATCTTTTGAGGTACTACTTTTTGTTTGTTTGTTTTACCATCAAGTGAAAATCAAACTTTATTATGGAAAGTTGTTGGACAGAGTAAGATGAAATTCTTAAGAATCTTATCTGTAATACAGTATATCTAAAAGATGAAGTCCTTTCAATTGAGTTACCTGACCCATTGTCAAACATTATTGAAATTAATTAATGACTGGGCTGAAATTCCAGTTCATCCATTTTCTGTCTCAGTGATCTTGGATATATTAAACTCTATAAGGTTTGGTTTGGTAAGCTATTAAATGTGCTAGTGATAACAATTATATGTAAAGAGAAAATCCTTCCTACTGTAATCCAGTCTATTAAAACCCTCATTTATAATTTGACTAAAAGATTCAAAGATCGTTGGAAGAATAAATTCAAATCATTAAGAAAAATTAAAGAATAGAAAGAAATTTGTCTTGGTTACAAGATATTAAAATACACTGGAGAACTATAAAAATTAAAATAATATGTTACTGGGGCTAACCCCACGGCATAGTGGTTAAGTTCAGTGTACTCCACTTTGGCAGCTCAGGTTTGCGGGTTCAGATCCCAGGCACGGACATACACCACTTGTCAAGCCACGCTGTGGCATCAACCCACATACAAAAGAGAGAAAGATTGGCACAGATGTTAGCTCAGGACTAGTCTTCCTCAAGCAAAAAAAAAAAAAAAAAAGAGGAAGATTGGCAACAGATGTTAGCTCAGGGCAAATCTTCCTCACCAAAAAAAGTAAAATAAAATAATATGTTACTAGTACAGTAATACCAGCAGAGTGAGTAAATATAGTAATCAAAATAACATGTTACTGGTCTAGGATACACTGACCAATGAAATAGAATAGAAGCCTAAAATGGCCAAAAGTAAACACAAGAAATAAAGATCAATGAAACGACCTTTCATATTCACCAAAAAAGATGAATTAATTAATAACAAATATGGTGACAACTAAAAAAGTACATTAACAAATTTCATGAGGTTTTTTTTAGGTGGAAAAATAAATATTTTCAAGAATAAGAGAAAAGTGGCACTAGCTATCCTGGAATTGACCCATATTAACTGAAAAAAAGAAATATAAGCCTCAGTTTCCTCATCTGCAAAATGGGAGAGCTATTACGTATCTCAAAGGATTAAATGAAAAAAAGTCCATGTAAAGCACTGAGCATAGCTCCCAGCACACACTAAGTACTCAATGAACTGTAAGTGTTTGTTGTTATCATCAGTGTTGCTATTGTTGTTGTTAATTATTGCTTGTGGGAGTATGAATCTTTATAACCTTGGAGGGAAACAATTTGAAATTTGAATTAAAATCTTAAAAATATGGTCTCTTTGAATAATGAATGTCTGCTTCTAGAAATTCATATTCAGGGAATAATTGATGATCTTTATAAAGACTGAACAAGAATGTTCATTATGGGGCCGGCCTGGTGGCACAGCAGTTAAGTGCGCACGTTCCACTTCGGTGGCCCGGGGTTCACCGCTTCCGATCCTGGGTGTGGACATGGCACCACTTGGCAAGCCATGCTGTGGTAGGCATCTCACATATAAACTGGAGGAAGATGGGCACTGATGCTAGCTCAGGGCCAATCTTTATCAGCAAAAAGAGGAGGATTGGCAGCAGTTAGCTCAGGGCTAATCTTCCTCAAAAAAGAAGAAGAAGAAGAAGAATGTTCATTACAGTGTTTTTTATGATTGTGAAAAAATTGGAAACAAACAGAATTTCATACCCTAGTGTGTTAGTTAAGTAAATTATGGTATTGCTACCATGGTATGCTATTTAGCCATTGAAGAATCAGCTGTTGATAAGGGATTTCAAAAGTGTTTTCCCAAAGGTGTTCCACTGCATGGGGACAAGCTGAGAGAGACAACTCTCATTCTTACTTCCCAAAGAGCAACTCCAAATGGTTCTGTTTCATATATTTTTTAATGTATTGATGTTCAATCCTGTCAATTCTTTTAAGATTCTGCTACTTTTGAAAATAGAAGAAATCCTTGTAGAAGTTGGAAGTTTAGACATAAAAAGAAGTTCATGGTTATTGATGAGTGCAAAAGCAGTTCATAATGTGCTCTGGAAACTGAAATGGTAAATTTAAAAATACTTCAATATATCATTGGCTAAAATTAAAGAAAGAAGCCACAGGTCTCGATGGAATCTGATGAGAGAAACCTGGAGTGAGATTAAACTTGCTGACACAAGTATAATAAATTCTCAAAGTAAAACCCAATCTCAAAGGAATTAGTAAGATTGAGTTAAGGTATGCTGCATTTGTTAGAAAATAAATATAAAGTAAGCACAATGGAGAGAGAACTCTTAATCTTCCTCAGGGTCTACAGATCTTATTTTTTAACTTTTAAAACTTCTGTCCCTTGTAAAAATGATTTACATTCTTCCTAAAATCATTATTAATAAAAGCAAATTATATGTACAATGGGAATACTATTCAGCCATAAAAAAGAACGAAATCTTGCCATTTGCAACAACATAGGCTTTGAGGGCATTATGCTAAGTGAAACAAGTCAGACAGAGAAAGACAAATACAGTCTGATCTCACTTATATGTGGAATCTAAACAAACAAGTAAACAAACTGAAAAAAAAAAACCAACCAAGCCCATAGATACAGAGAGCAGATTGGTAGTTGCCATAGGGGGTGGGCAAAATGGGTTAAGGAAATCAAAAGACACAAATTTCCAGCTATAAAATCAATAAGTCATGGGGATATAATGTACAGCATGGTGACTACGCTTATAATACCATATTGTATATTTGAAAGTTGGTAAGAGAGTAGATCTTAAAAGTCTCCATCACACACAAAAAATTTGTAACTATGCATCAGAATGGATGTTAACTAGGCTTATTGTGGTGATCATTTCACAATATATAGAAATATCAAATTATTACGTTGTACATCTGAAACCAACATGTTAATATGTCAGTTATACCTTGGTAAAAATTAATTTTTAAAAGCACGGTGTCCTCTATAAAACGTAGCCACTAACTTTGATACTTGCTTAAATGTTTGTTATAGAAAACCATATTTGTTAGAAGCTTTAGTATCAAATATGTTGGTGTATCCAAAATTATAAACTATGTTTGTTATAGGATATTGACTTGTAAAATTTAATTCACAGTCAAGGGTGTTACTCATCCTGTTTTAATGAATTTCACCAGTACATATAAACTATGTAAATTCCCTGGCTAGTAAAAAAAAAATATCAATTTTAAGTCTAGATATTCTTTCCTCATGGTGCAAATAAAATAAAATATTGGTTATAGCAAAGTCATCTTAAAAAACAAAGTGAAATTGCATTTTTCACCGTATGATCCCATTTTTGCAAATTAATAGAGGCATGAAACATCTGGAAGTATATTATATCAATTCTTAAACATAGTTAATTTCCAGGTAGTGGAGTTAGATTGTTTGTATTCTTTTTTCTTTTCCTGTTTCACTTATCTATATTTTTAAAATTTTTCACATTGAATTTTCCCCATTTTTTGTAATAAATCATGAAACAATGAAATGCTTTTCTTTACCTTTCAATGCTTCTACTTTTCCAGACTTTCCTTTATATTCTTTTTTGACATTTATGATTCTGAAATGACAGAAGGGGTGCTTACTTAACCAACACAGAGGCAAAAATACTACAGATCACAACCAACTTAGAGTGCTAGATGCAGTCAACCACATTACCTGAAATAAGGGATGACATTACCACACTACAAAGAAAGGTAAAGACTTATTTTTGATCAATCACTTCCCTTGAGATACAAAATAAAAGAGTCTCTTCAGAAAGTTACTATTAAATTCTTAGTGTTTTGCTTAGAAAGTAGAGTGCTCTGTAATTATCCTTACTTTCATCTTCTTGTCTTAGAAGATTTTGTGTTTTTCCCTGTTCAAGATCATTTATTTGTACTCTTTAACCATCATCTCCCATTCCTTCCAATCTTGTTTACTGATCAGAGCCTGTCATCTGCATTTTCTCTCTGATAGTTTCTCTTTAGCCTCTAATTCTGCTTTAGATACAATCGAACTTCTCTCCTCCCTTATCTTAAAAAAATTCTTAAAATAAAAATGTAAACTTGCCATCTCCACTTCCTCACTTCTTACTTCCCCCTTAATCAATTACACTCTAGCTTCTGAATCCATTACTCTAGTAAACGTCTTCGTGCTGAAATCTTTAGTGGACTCCTAATTACCAAATGCAATAAATATTTTCCCATCCTTATTTATTGGATTATGGGTCACTCTTAATGACTTTCTCCTTGTTGATAGTGTCTACTTTCAAGGCGACACTCCACTTTACTGATTTTCTTCCTATTTTTCTAAATTTCCCTTCTCTACTTCCTTGTCAAGTTCTCTTCTTTCACCAGACACATCAGTTTGATGCTCCACAGGGTTCTCTATGTATATTATGGGTCTTCTCACTCTTGACTCTCTCAAAGGAGTATCTCATTGGTTCTTGTGGTTTCAACACCAACCTAAAGTTGACCTCATCCTTTCCCCTGAGCTCACAAATCTAAAGGTTTGCTGGATTTCTTTATCTGAATATCACACACACACGCACCTCTAAATAAGTGGTTATCAAATTTCAATGCACATTGGAATCTCAAAGGGAACTGCTGCAGGACAAGGCAGGAACCAGACAGGTTAGAAATGTCATGATTACATAATACCATGTGCAATGCATCTTCAACTTCAAAGGGAAACAGAGTTTAGTCACCCTCCTTTCTGAACATGAATCAGAATAAAGGTAAGGACTTTTATTCAACCAGAATGCTGGCGGTGCGTGGGGTTACACCAAAGAGTTGGAAAATTTGAAAGAGAAAGGCTGAAAAGGCACTGAATCTGACAGGGTATTTTGTTTCCACATTTTTTTGTGTGTAATGGGACACACATTGAAGTGGGGCTTTAATGTTTTATTTTAATAAATAAACTTCCATTTAAGAGCAGCTAGTTATTTTGGGATTTCAGAGATGAAGATAGCCATTTACATTTGGGGCAGACTTCCTGCCTATGTTCTGGGAGTGTTGCATGAATCATCTAAAGTTCTAGGAATGGACAGATGTACATACAAATGCCCCCAAAGAAGAAGAATTGGGAAAAGGGATTACAGGTGAGAGGAAGCCAGTTGTGAATTTAAACAAGATATTTTTACAGAACCAAGATCTTGGTTCTAGTTATAACTCTGCAAGATTTCCCCCATACTTCCAGATACATATAGCTTAAGTTCTGCTAGGGAAAGAGGAAGAGTTCATTAGTATATAAGTAGAGACTGCCTGGGGAAAAGGGAATCGACACCTTAGTACCTTCTATATCCACACAAAATCAAATTCACATGTTGGGATTGATCGTGATAGAGTTGATACTTGTCTAGTGGTGGGAAAGGGCAATCATTTTCCTAAGAAAGGGTTGCTGTGAAGAAAGAAGAGATAAGACTTGTGGATTGGGAACTGCATCTAACGTGGGTGGTAAAGGTCAATTTTAGGCTGTCTTGCAGCCCCAGAACCTGCTTAACTAGTGACTGAATGTGAGCAGCTTTTCACTGAAGAGCTGTAATGCTGGGCACATAAGTCTACTTTGCTACTTTCATGTGGATCTGGGGTGAGGCGTCCCACACTGGAGCAAAGAGATTCAGTGGACAGGCCTTGGATCAGACGACTTTCCTTTCCCAGTTTGTCAGTGGTCCGAAATCTCTATTTTAGTCAAGAATCCAGATCACGAGACAGGGATGCCCAGAGTCAACATTGATTAGATTGGTCAGGGTTGAGGGTAAGGGGGATGGTGGGTGTGTGGGTGAGGACATTTCACTTTTCTCTCCTTCACAGCAGAAGAACAAACATTTTTTGACCTATGTAACTAATCTTAACACTTTCTTAGAAAACTTAACCTGAAAATTATTATAATTTGAATAGTAATATAATGCCATTTTTTGTGCTCTCAACTGGAAGAGAGGGACTGATGACCTTGGGATTGAGTTTTTTTGATTATTCCTCAGTTGGCCTTTCTCTTTCAGGCAGGTGTTTTCCATGGAGCTAGGGTTGGGAGCGACTGTTGCCCCTCAGAAAACTTAACAGAAAATAGGTTCAGAATTAGAAAGGCAAACCTTAGGTACATAGGTTCATCCTATACTCTTGTCTTAGAAATATTTCATTTTCCAGCTATAGTTCCATTTTATTCATCTTCCATTGCCCCCTGACATCTCTACAGTAGCCAGGTTACTACAAATTAAGAGCATAGACTCTAGAGCCAAACTGGATTCCAATCCCAGTTCCCCATTTATGAGTGTGTGACATTGGGCAAGAGACTTAACCTTTCAGTACTTCAATTTTTTCATTTATAAAATGGGCAAAATAAAAGCGCCTGCCTTATAAACTTTTGCTGGGAATTAAATATGTGTCTGGCACATAGTAAGCACTATATGAATATCTGCTAAATAAACAAATGGTTGATATTTAAAACTCTCTAATTCTTTTACTTTAGTGCACATTGGAAAAATCTACAGGGCTCTTTAAAATCCACAGACCCTTGGGTTCAAGCCCACACCCCCCAAGTTAGAATCCATAGGGTCTGAGAGCAGAGATATTTGAAAAACTCATATAAATCTGTCACAAACAACCTTACAGAGCAAATGTTACTCTTGTTTCACACAGGACACCAAGACTCCAGAGAAACTTATTCATTTTTCCAAGATTACACATCAAATGAGAGGGAAGTGTGCTATTAAGATTTAAGAATTTCTGATTCTAAGTTTCTTACTTCTTCCATCATCTTGTGTAAGCCAGACAAAACTATGGAGGAAGGGACAGAGAAGAGAAAGAGCAAGTATAAAAGAGAGATGGGGGACAAGGGATGGAAACAAGGAGTAAGACAGGATGGAGAGTGATGCAGTAAGATCACACGGAGCTAAGCAAAGAGAATTGTCCTTTCAAGTAGCAGTTAGGAGATATTGGTGGTGATGGCGTGGAAGAGTTCAAAGTGACAGTCATAAAAACGAATTTCTTCTTCAACGTTTTGCCTTAGGCTCATCCCGTTGCTGTTGGTTAATAATTCATTAGCCTTGCAACCATATATTAGTATAAGTGCAATTACCTGATGGCTTCTTTTCCTTGGAATTCTGGAGCTACCCGTTCAAAATAGTCATCAGAGGGATGCTCAGGATCTATTTCTTTCTCAATGAACTTATTATCAGTCCTTTGGTGTTGGAAACAAGATAATGAGTTCAGGAAAAATAACGGAGAATTCTGGCGTTCATTTCCATCTAATTCATCAAGAAGCAATAAGATATTGAGTCAGTAACATTAAAACAATGAGCAGAGAAGTCTTTTCAGAATAGTACAGGATGTCTTGGATTTTTAAGCATCGTAAAGAAATTACTTTCTTCCTAACTTCTATTTTTGAGAAGAAAACTTGGTTTTGAAGTAAAGATGAAAATTCAAAGGAAATAACATTTTCACAAAGGTTAAACAATATAATAGAACTTTCAGCAACGTATAAATCAAAAGTTTGAATAAAATGTGGTCGAAAAGGTATTTAGAAGAATGAATGAAACCAAATATTTGGGGGGAAAGCTGTAATATGGCACATAAAAATAATCGTAAACATGTTTTGAACTTAATAAATCATTTGACCACAGCAATATGATGAACATAATACTGAAATCTATATGTTACATGAATAAAAAAATACATGAAGAAATTACATTTGTTCAGGATGAAAATGTAGTAATTTTTCAGATTTTAAAAATAAAGTATTATTTGTTATTAAGGGCTTTCAGTTATTAACTAGAAGTGATAGAAAGACAGAAATACACAGAAACACATAACACAACCTTAAATACAGTCAAAGTGGAAGGAAGATAAAAAACAAGGAGATTGTTTCTTGAAGATAAGAAGAAGGAAAAAAGCATTCTGATCCTAGAGTATGTGAAGAAATTCTGGGCTTATAATAAGTGAAATTTTTGGCTGTCTGCAAGATGAAGTAAATCTAACTTGGTAATATATTTCTGTAAATATGAACAGTATATGAAAAACTTTCAGAATACTGCTGAAAATATCCTCTCTAATTTTCATTTTGTTATTTCCTTAAAGGATGGACATCTTCCCTTCCAAAACGGTCCTCCCAGAAACAAAGTCAGGAAGACACTGATTATTTCACACCTGAGGTCTTTTCTAGCTGTGTTTAGTTTACAATCTGCCCCCACATTCTTGTAAAATGACCAAATATTTACTAGGAAGCACTTCCACCATAAGATGGTCCTATACTAGCCAAAATCATCTTAACTAATTTTTTCAGCTTGTTCTGATACAAATCCTAAATATCATTCTTTGAAAACACTTTCAGGGAACCTTGAAAAAAATAACATTATTTAATACTATATAATCATAATATGTATTAAAATTATAATTATTGTGTATTTAAAATGTGTATTATTATTAAAGTCAGAAAAATAACTTTTTTACATAAAACGTCTTTTGGACCATTCAAATTATGAAGTAGAAATAAAGAACTCATTTAGCCTGTGATGAGAAATATTTGTTATTCTTAATTTCTTAAAATATATTCACATAACCTCAAGAAAAACATCTTCAGTGTGATGAATATTAGTAAAGGTCAGAGAAAAATCCACTATTACTTACAGGGTAAGATTTTGTCAAAGTATAATGCCAATACCAAGTAGAAAAGAGCATCAAAAGCCAATACGGAAAAGGTTGCTATCATTTTATATGATTCTCCTGAAGGGTCAGGAAAAATTACACCATTCATATTATAATCCAGGTGGATAATCTAAGATTCAAACACAAATAATAATAAATATTTAAATTAGATAAATAAAAATAACTCAGTGTAGCAGCAAGAATTATATAATTTTATAAGTAGCTTTTTTAAGAAGCTCTTAAAATAAAGTTATTAGTGAAACTATTTCTATTTTATAGTGATAAAAGGAATATTAGAAGGAAATACTGATTTAAAAAATACAATGTTCTAAGGATACAAATTTAAATTATAATTCGTTTGCTGGTTTTCATAAGGTCCTTGCAATATTGAAAAATATCTACTCTTTGCAACAATGAAATACAAATTTTAGAAAGAACATGAAGAATTATTTGGAGGATCTTAGTAGGAAAATGATAAGAGGACTTACCTTTTTTCTAGTTATTACTACAAAAAAAGAATTTTATTTATAATTTTGCCATGTAATAATACCTACCATGTTCTAGGCACTGTTCTAAGTGCTTTTTATATAATCCCATTTAATCTTGATCATAACCCTATGCAGTAGGCCTTATTATTTTTATCTGCATTTTACATATGATGAAACTGAGACAGAGAAATTGAGTAGCTTAACCAGATGAAGTCAAAAATCACAAGTGAGGAGTGGTAAAGCTGAGATCAGAATAAAGAAGTTCAGCTCCCAAGCCCAATTCCTCACCATAGACACTATACAACTTCTCAATTTATGTTAAAATGTTAGTTTTTCATGGCAAAGTTGAGTTTATTCTAGGAATACAAGGCTGAGTTGACATTTGAAGATCGATCAATGTAATTCAACATACAACAGATTGAAGGAGAAAATAACGTGATCAATCTAATAGATTCAGAAAAGTGTTTGATAAAATTCAATATCTGCTTATAATAAAGAAAGACTCCTCACAAACTAAGAAGATAAGAAATCTTCCTTAATCTGATGAATTAGAGTACAAAGACCAATGCCAAAAATCATGCTTAATTGTGAAACGTTGAAAGCTTTTCCTTTGCCTGTATTTCTATTCAACATTGTACTAGAGATCTTAATCTGTACAATAAGGCAAGAAAAACAAGTAAACAGCATAAAGATTGCAAAAGGAAAAAATGAACCATCATTATTTGTAGACAACATGATTATATATAAAGCATCCCAAGGTAAAACCCAGAAAAATAACTAGATTCAATAAATGAACATAGCAAGAATACTGAATACAATGCCAATGTACATAAATCAGATGCATCTCTCTACATTAACAACAAACATTTAGAAATAAGAATTTAAACATAGATGCTACTTATAACGGCATCAAAAGTATCAAAAACTTTGCAATAAATCAAACAAAAATGTGCAAGACTCTATACTTAAAATTAAAACAATTACTAAGGGAAAATGAATGTGAGGATATATTCATGACAAAAAAAAGTGTTAATTTTCCCCAAATGGATGAAAAAGTCAACTTCACCAAAATCTCAACAGTTTTGCACAAACACACACACATACGTGTGTATAACTTCATAAGTTAATTCTAAAATTTACATCATTGCAAAGAACCTAGATTAGAAAAGACTCTCTTGAAAAAGAAAATAAAGTGGTAAAATTGTTACTACCAGATATCAAGACATATTATAAAGCAAAACAATTAAGACAATGTGTCAGCAGTGCAAGGATAGACAGATGGGTCCAGACATGATTGGTTGAGTTGTGACAAAAGAAATATTGCAATTCATCTGGGGAAAGGATGATCTTTTAAATAAATAGAGCTGAAGTAATTGGATGTCAGTGTAGAAAAATTAATATTGTCTCTGCCTATAGATACACAAAAGTTATTTTGAAGTGGATTTTATATCCAAATGTAAAAGCTGAATCAATTGAACTTCCAGAATAAAATGTAGGATAATATCTTTATAATCTTGGGGTATTCAATAATTTCTTAAAGATACAAAAGCTCTCTACATGAAAGAAAAACTTGACAAACCAGACTTTATCAAAATTAAGAAATTTTGTTCATTAAGAGCACCATTAAGATAGCAAAAATGTCAGCAGCAAATAACTGAAAAATGTCTCATATCCAGTATATATAAGGAATTTGTATGAAGCAATAGGAAAAGAGAAAACTCAGTAAAAAATGGGGAAAAGACCAGGAGAGGCATTTTATAATAGAGAAAATACAAAAAGCCACTAAGCATATGAAAAAGTATTCAACTTAGTCAATAATCAGGAAAATGCAACTTAACACCACAACAATATATTATTACATATCTACCAGAATGGCTAAAATTTGAAAGACTGACAATTCCAAACAGTGGTGAAGATCTGGAGCAACTGAAACACTGTTGGTGCAAAAGTAAATTGATGCAACCACTTTGGAAAAAATATTTGGCAATAGCTGTGAAGATTAAGATATACATACTCTAGGTCCCACTATTTAACTCCTAGATCTATACCAAATAGATTTGATTGTCCATGTTCAACAAGAAATATGTATAAGAATGTTTTTTTGCAGAGTTACTCATAATAGTCAAAAACTGGAAAATATTGTTGTCCATCAGTAAGAAAATCTATAGTATATTTGCACAATAGAATACTACATAACACTATAATATAACTACACACAAACCATGGATGACATCTAAAAACGTAATTTGGAGACAGTGTCAAGACGGCAGCATAGGTGGACTCTGAACTCACCTCCTCCCGTGGACACAACAAATTTACAACTACTCTTGGAACAATTACCCCTGAGAGATAACTGAAAACTGGATAATAAAAGAACCTCTGCAACAGGGACAGTGCTGATTTAGGTGGAAGAGGCCAAAATTCATTTATGGAGAGAAAAAAAGCCACCTTCACCAGGCACGGTGCTTCACAGCCAGCCTGGAGCAATCCTAAGGTACGAAGCCTTCCCTGGAGGATTGAGGGTTCTGAGTGGGGGAACACTAATGCTATAAGCAGCTTTTAGACTCAGCACAACTGAGACAAGTGTCATAATACCTGGCTTTGCTGGCTACTAACTACAACAGGGAATACCACCAGAAAAGCTATTGGACACAAGCGGGGTAAAGCCTGGTATAAAGGGCCCATGCACAAATTCAACTGTTTTGGGAAGCAACCTAAAATCAGCAGAAAGAAAAGTGCACAGTCCTTTGGTAAAAAGAGACTCACCTGATAGGTTTTGGATGCATCTCGGTGAGAAGTAAGACCACTCTAGGGACTGAGACATTAGCAACAGCCGCCATTATTGTGCCCTAGTACAGGCATGCTGACACAGATGCTGGCAGACACCATTGGAGTTCTTCCTCTGGCCTATTAGACCAGGTCTGACCCACCCACCCAGTAGAGCACCAATTTGATGCAGTTCAGCCAGGGCAGGCAGCCCACCCTAGAGACCAGCCCCACCAAACAGCAAGCCCTCAGGCAATTTGTGGGCCTGCATAGGCAGGGTGTCTGGAACCTCTTCAGCAGGGCAAGTGGGTCTGCCTCTGTGGGCCAGAGCATGTGCAAAGAGCGGGTGGAGTGTGTGGGGCATTGGTGGAGTGTGGGGAGCCTCTGCAGTGGAGTGATTAGGTCCACTTCAGTGGGTAGGGGCATGCACAGAGGATAGGACTGTGTTGACTGGGTATATGGTCCTGTGGGCAGTGGGGCTTGTCAGTTGCAGAAGACTTGTGCTTCTCAAGCAGCCACATAAGGGATCAGCCCCACTTTCCAAAGCCTGAAACAATTGGGTGCTCCCATGCCTGGAGCCAGCCCCACTCAGGTGCAATCCTGAGAGAGTTGACAATAGCCTTATAGGCCAGAATTGACCTATAAGGTCAACAATTGACTGCCCCTGAGCATAGCAACCAGCCATGCTGGGGGCCTATTGAGTTAACAGAAAAACTGCAACAGGAATGTGCTACTTGACCTTGCAGCCAACTGTGCTCAGGCGCCCCACACCTGACAAAGTGACTGAAGGGTCCATAGCAATCACATGCAGTTGAGCATTACAACCAGCCATCCAGGGAGACAGCCTAGCCTCCCTGGGCACCTGCAGCAAGACTAACCCTGCCACAACAGAAGGACATATGTAGTCCACACAGGGGACACTCCTGAATTTGGAAGTGGTGATGAGAAGGAAGCACACTGCTGGTCTTCATAAGGCATCTCTTATATAAGTCCATCTCTTAAAGATCAGGAGACATAGCTGACCAATCTAATACATAGATAGAAGCACAGAGAAACAGGCAAAATGAGGAGACAAAGGAATACATTCCAAGCAAGGAAACAGGACAAAAACCCAGGAAAAGAACTATATGAAACAGAAATAAACAATCTATCTGACAAAGAGTTCAAATAAAAAGTCATAAGGATGCTCACTGGTCTTGGGAGAAGAATGGATGAACTCAGTGAGAACTTCAACAATGAACTGGAGAATATAAAAAAGAATCAATCAGAAATGAAGACTACAATACCGGAAGTGAAAAATTCACTAGAGGGACTCAATAGAGTAAATGACACAGAGGAACGGATGAGCAAGCTGGACCAAAGACTAGAGGAAATCACTGAAGCTGAAGAGAAAAAAGAATGAGGACAGTCTACGGGTCCTCTGGGACAACATCAAGCACACTAACATCCGTATTATAGGTGTCCCAGAAGGAGAAAAGAGAGACAAAGGGCAAGAGAATCTATTTGAAGAAATAATACCTGAAAACTTTCCTAACCTAAGGAAGGAAACAGACATGCAGGTATGGGAAGCACAAAGAGCACCAACAAGATAAACCCAAGGACCCCACACCAAGACACATTATAATTAAAATGTCCAAAATTAAAAATTCACTTCTCAGAAGAAACCTTACAGGGTAGAAAGGGGTGGCATGATTTATTTAAAAAGTGTTGAAAGGAAAAAACTTACAGCCAAGAATACTCTACCCAGCAAGGTTATCATTCAGAATGGAAGGAGAGATAAAGAGTTTCGTAGACAAGCAAAAACTAGAGGAGTTTATCACCAAGAAACCATCCTTACAAGAAATGCTAAAGGGACTTATTTAAGTGGAAAATAAAA